CTAATTATATTTTGGGAATGAAAATTACCAAAACTTGTGATGGTATATTTCATGATCAGTCGCATTATGTTGAGAAAATTTTGAGAAAATATAATTTTTATAAGTGCAAGCATGTTCTTACTCATTTTGATCCTCATGTGCATTTATTTCCTATTGAAAATGATGAGGATGTAATTAATCAAAAGGAATATGCTAGTATGATTGGTAGCTTGCGTTATGCGACTAACTGTACTAGACCTGACATTGCCTATGCAGTTGGAGTACTTAGCAGGTTTACTAGCAAGCCTAGCAGTGATCACTGGCTAGCCATTGAGCGAATTATGAAATATTTATCTGGTAACATAAAATATGGCTTGTTTTATAATAAATATCCTGCAGTACTTGAAGGTTACAGTGATACCGATTGGAATGCTTTGTCAGGTGATTCATTATCAACCACTGGTTACTTATTTACATTAGAACGTGGTGCTATAAGTTGGAAATCGAAAAAACAAACCATTATTGCTAATTCAACAATGGAAGCTGAACTTATTACTTTAGCTACAGCTACTGAATAAGCAAATTGGTTGAGAGATTTGTTAAATGAAATCTCTTGTTGGAAAAAACCGATTCCACCTATATTGATTCATTGTGATAGCACCGCAACAATTGGTCAAGTTAATAACCGTTATTATAACGGTAAATGCAGACCTATCAGAAGAAAACACAGTACTGTGAGATCTTATATGAATAATGGCATCATAAATGTGGATTATATTAAATCTGGTGATAATCTTGCAGATCCATTAACTAAGGCCTTAGCAAGAGATAGAGTCTGGAATACATCGAGGGGGATGGAGTTGAAGCCCATTGAATATAGCAGGAGCCATGTATGAGGATACTCAACCCAGGGACCAGAGATCCTATAATTGGGTTCAATGAGAAAAATGATCATATGATGGCCGTAAGAAATGCACTAAATTACTTTTTACCCATCCCTATGATGTAAGTGCATTTATCCTATAACGTTGTAGAGGTTGAGTTATTAAAAAACTCTTAATGAATTTATGTAGCTTTTATTGAGCGAGGTGCCATAGTTACCGGAGCACCCTTGACAGAATTCACCTATGTGAGTGTGGTAGTGGGGCCACTACTTATACGAGATTTGGGCTAATTCTCAAACACACTCATGAATCCTGGGATCGCACGAGGCCGTAATGTGCTGGTTCTTAAAGCTTATGTGAACACTTGGAATATTATGTGTGTGCAATAATTATTTATTTCCCTTAAGTAGTCATAGTTCTATGCTGAGCATACTATTGGCTCTGCAGTAGATATTATTGTTTCACTAATGGAGGTTCAATGCAGAGCACACATACCATGATGCATAATATCCTTATTTGCCTAATAATCTCAATTTTTGTTACGTATAATATTAAAATAGGTGGGGAATGTTAGCAGATATTTTAATATTATAATGTGTTATTGGTTTGATTTGTTTTCTTTTCCTCCAAGTTAATCCTTTTCTCGGTGACCAAGAATCCTCCAAGTTACTTCCCATACTTTTCCTCCAAGAATCCTCCAAGTCAAGTCTTTTTCTCCAAGTCTTCTAAGTCTTACCCACCAAGTCAAGTCTTATTCTCGTCCTAGAATCTTGTCCACTAAGTTTCCTCTTCTCCAAGACACTTGCCCATCAAGTTTTCTCTCCTATAAATTGAGCCTTTCGCCTCTCTTATTGGTAGCTCAAGTTTCTCATTTCTGAGATTATCAGGCAAATAAAAAAGGGTGTATGTGTAAAACTTTGGGTTCAACCAATTGTGCAGTATTGGTTAACCATACGACTTAGTCGGGCTGTTGTACCTTGGAGGGCACAAGTCAAGATTTTTTCTACTGCACTGGTGTGAGGTTTTGCCTAACCGCAGAGGGCTTGAATCTCCTTAAAGAGAGCAAATTTCCTGCGCCTTAGCCCTTACAATAGTTATTGTAATTTTTATTATTTGTATTTTCTAGTGTTTTATTTGTAATTAACCCCAACAATTAGTAATTTTGAATCTTAAATATTAAAAACAAAACTTTTAATAAAGAATTATAATTTAAGTTGTTTTAAAGGGCCTCACTTAAATTTGTTTGCCTTGGACTTCATATAGGCTTGTTTCGCCTATGACCATATTCCTTCCAAAATATTTTTTTCATGTAGGTAAGAACGATTATGTTGAGTGTGCATTAACTTATAGGCTATTTTGATAATTAGAAAGAAAAAAATAATAATTTATTGACTTATTTGAATTATATTATCTTTATATGTTTCCTTTTTATAAAAAAAAAGTTGAAAAAATAAAGAAGCTAACTTTCAGAAGTTTGTCACATGCAAAGTGCATTAGGTGCACGATGCTTATTTATTAAGGAAGTGAAACGAGTTTTGTAGGTGCTTATATATTAGGGATTAGATTTAGTTTATTTTTTAAAAAAATTAATTCTCCATAATTGTATTTATTTTAAATTTACCCTTCACATTAAAATAAAAATAAAATTTTATTAAAAAATAAAAATTTATTTTAAAATTATTTTAAAAAATTTAAAATAAACAAATTCTATTAAACAAAAGTACAGTCGTAAGATTATTATTTTCTGTCATCTCACACTTTGAAAAATAAAAAATGTTTGGTGCCTTGACAAATAAAGGCTCGAATGGCTTGAATCGTCCTCTCTCTGAATTAAAACGCGACCTCGTTCATTACTCTCTCTCTCTCTCTCTCTCCTCTATTCAAACCCAAAACTGAAGCAACTCTTCTCTTGTCCCTCTCAAAGCAGTCTAGGTTCTCTTGTACTCTCATCCCTTTCATCCACTCGCTCACTTTTGTCCTCTCGCTCCATCTTGCCCTCTCATCCCTCTCATTGGTGCGCTGTTCTCTCCTTCATCTTTTATCAAACCGCCGAAGCCCTCCTCACTGCATCATCGTGGTCAAATCACCGGAGCCCTCATTACTACTACTATCGCCGATGGTTTGGACTCTCATCACCTACCAGAAAAGCATCTCTGTCTCTCTCTTTGGTAAGTCCCGACATCGTAGTACCTAAATACAGGATTTTGGCGTTGTAAATCATAAATTGGGGCTTTTTATATCAGTTTGGATTTGAATCCATAAAACAAAATTTGGATTTGAATTTGTATATATCAGTTTGGATTTCAACTTGTGAATGAGAAATTGGGGTAAGTTTGTATGTCAGTTTATATTTATATCAGTTTGGATTTGAATTTGTAAATGAGAAATTAGGTTCAGTTTGTATTTCAGTTTGGAACTTGATGTGAATGAGAAATTGGGGTCAGTTTGTATATCAGTTTGGATTTCAATTTGTGAATGAGAAATTGGGGTCAATTCGTATATCCATTTATGAAAAGTTTGTTCTTATTTTTCTTCCTTTGAACTTTGGCCATAATATTCTTAAAAATACTGCGAAAATAAAACTATAGATGAAATTTATAAACTGGGTGTGGCCTACATTATATCAAATTTGAATTTAGCTGTTGTTGTTGGAGATTATCATACTAAATTTGAATATAGTTGTTGTTGTTAGAGATTTTAATTGATTACATATTGATGAGCATTGTATGACATATGTGTTTGAGCCATTTCATGTTTATGTGTTGGATCCAGCTCTTGTTCTCTATATGTGTCTCATTCCACCATAAAAGGTGATCTTACCACTTATTTAAGTGCATACAAAACACACCTGATATCCATCTTCTTTGGCAGTGGCCATTCCATATAGTTTTGTATGAGTCCCTACCATACTTTTATTTCAAACGAGGAAGACTCGGAGGAAATTGAAATGGCTTTGGTATTGGTTATGCAGAAAAAAATGGCTTCTTCTTCTACTAACCATAGCAATATTAGATTGAAACCAAGAATGTGTGACTGTGGGAGAACAGTTGCCATGTATATTGTACGAACCAATGAGAATGAAAATCAAGGGTGTTTGTTCTTTGTTTGTCTAGCAAAATATGTAAGTACCAAGCTTTATTGTTTGTCAGTATCTATTATAGAAATTAATCCTTTAGTTTTTGAAAATTTATTTGTGTGGTTTGACTAACTCATTTTCATGGTAGAGTAATAAGGCACACTGCAATTACTTCAAATTCGCAGATGATGATGAGGAGGAAGTTAACTCCACAATCTGTTTCAATACTGGACCTCGTCAAACTATAACAACATAAGAATTTAACGAGCTAAGGACAATACTTTCTGAGATGGAAAATGAACTTCATGACCATAGTAGAAGGCTTCAAAGGATGGAAAAGAAATTGAAGACGATGATTTATGTCATTGTATTTTGTATTATTTTCTACTCTATGATGTAAATTAGTGACTTGTTAGTTTTCTTTTATTTTGTATAATTTTCTACTTTATGATGTAATTAAGTGACTTGTTAATTTTCTTGTAATTTTATGGATTGTGCGTAGATGTTGTCATCAATGGATGGAATGTCTATATCTTTTTAGGTAGAAAAGAATATGTTGTTGATGTGGATGATGTATAAGATGATCTTCTTAGCTCATTTTGATTAGGAAATTTTTTATTACAATACTAAATAATGATGGATTGGTGACTGTGTACTGCCAAATTAATGTTTACACAAGGGAAGAGATTAAATTTAGGTCACAAATAGAGGTTCAAACATGTCACATTTACATGTGTACATTTGAAGGAGATATTGGTACATAAGATGTTGTCAAATCAGTTACAATAGCATAGAATAGAAACACGTCTTCAACTTTTTATCTCAATTAGAATGAGAAGCTACTGGGTGACTCTAAATGCAACTACACCTACAAACAATCATAAGTACAACCATATATTAATTTCACATTGAAAAAATAAATACATAAAAAAACTAGTTTAATAAACCATAGAGAAAGCAATAGAAATGTGAATCATCCTGATAACAAAGCAATAGAGATTCATAATGATGTCAATTGTATCATCCAAATATATTGGACCATCAAACAAGCATAAACATTCATAATGATGTCACTTGTAGCATCCATTTATTGAACCATCCTTATAACAAAGCAACTGAATTTTGAGTTGGGCCAGATTAATACAATATGTCACTTGTCTATAAACCATAAAATGTGTCCAACCATAACATTTCTACATTTACAAACCAAAGTATCCAAAGTTTACAAACCAAAGTCATAAAATTACAACTGCGAAACTAAAAATAAAATGGGGCATTAGATCCGCATCTATATTTAAGTCAACAATTTTGAAGCAATTATCAAACTTTGACTGCTTCTGTTGTTCACCATTCCTGAATGACTAAGAGATTTGCTTCTAATATTGTCCACCATTTGCATTAAGCTACCTCTTGCCTATTCAATGAGAAAGTAAATAATATTAGAAATTTTTGTCACGAACATATTTGCAAATCACAAGAAACAAAAATATTTCATGTCATATCTTTAATACATACCGGTACATACCTACTCTCTTGTGTGCCATCCATACAAGGAAAATAGTATGGTTGAGCTTGCGGCACCTTATTATCATAGTAACAGAATTTCAATATTACTCTCAAACATTAAATTAAATACCATAAAAAAATATGAAGTCCACTTTGAAACACATACCGGTTCGTGCGTACTTGCTTGCATGGCATCCATACAAGCAAAATTCAACTTACGACCCTATAGGATCACACATTCGTGAATAAGTTAAGTAAAGAAAATTATGAAATTCATATATCAAACAAAATTAAAAATTTACTTGTACTTTTGTAGCCTTTTTATTCTTTCTCTTGAAACAATTCATGATTTCATCCACTTTGCTAACCTTCTGTTTGGTACATGGATGACCTCTTTGGTGAGCAACCATAAGACTAAGCACCTTGTGAGTCATGCTTGCATTTGTAGTACTGCGACCAAGCTGAGTTTTAGGGGAAGTATTAGAAGGTGGGACAGTACTAGTAGAAGGTGACACATTACCCACATAACCCGATTAATCTTGTCTCACTCTATTCTTGATTTCTACTAACCCAAGTTGAATGACTTTGTGTTTACCATCATCGTTGGCTGCAATTTCTATAATTTCATCCAATATCTTGTGGTAGTTATCATACACTTTTGCATTGAGAACAACTCTAGAAGTAGTGTATGTGGTTGGAATGCATGTGTATCCTCTTTTTAAATCTTTTTTCCACCTCGGCATAATGTATTTATCTGGAACCTCATATATGCACCTCTCAAGGAGTACACTAAGTGAATGGGCACACATAATGCCCCTAAACTCAAACCGCCGACACATACATTGGATGTCACATTCAATTGAATTATAATATACAACAAATTCTACTTTCTTCTTTTGTTCACCGACTAAAACAACCTTTTTTACATGATAAGTACAAATTGATCATTTCTCTTTGACAAGAGTCGCACGATAGTACAATAGTCGTTTCATTTCTGCTTGTACCTCTTTAAAATTTTGCATTTGTGTAAGCTGCACAAAGTTGCTTCTCAAAAGCATACATCGTTAAGAAATCATACAATTTGTTTCGAGATTGAAAGTCTACTTTGGTCTCCTTCTCTACCTTACTTCTCAAGGCATTGTCATACTGCTCAATAAATTGCTTTAAAGTAGTCTTCGAGTTCACATGTCCATCAAAAAATGCATTCATACTCTCACTTCATTGTGTAGTTGACATGCCAGCCCAAAAAATGTCTTTAACATAGGTAGGAATCCACCTATGTCGCTCACTATATAATACCCCAAACCACTCGTTATCATTTAGACTGAACTTTGCGATCATCGCTTGCTATTCTTCATCAAATTCATCTTTTGTTAAAGAATCATAAACTGCATTTTGCAAAGCAAACTTTATAGATTCATATTGCGAATAGCCTCTCAATTTTTTCAAAATTTTCTTCATTATATGCCATAAGCACCAACGATGTCGAGCATGTGGGAAGATAATTTCTATGGCATTTTGCATAGCTTTGCACTAGTCAGTTATTCTAGCTTTTGGAGGAGTGTCTGACATGCAACTTAACTAAGCTCCGAATAGGCATACAAATCTCTCAGTGTTCTCATTACATAACAACCCACAACCAAACAAAATTGACTTTCCATAGCGATTAACTCCTACAAACGAAGCAAATGACATGTCATATTTGTTTGTGAGATAAGTTGTGTCAAATGTAACATCCCTAAATGCTTTATAAGTTGCCCTACTTCTTGTATCAGCCCAAAATAAGTTTTGCAAGCGTCCTTCTCCATCAAAGTCCATTGCAGAATAGAAGTTCGAATTTTGTTATTGCATCCTATGAAAATAAAGTCCAACTATTCGGCATATCCTACCCCAAGCCTCAATCTTCTAGCCTTCTCAATATGATTCCTTGCATCTCGTCCGTCAAATGTTAATGCCTTATATCCCCCCGCTTCAATACCTATAGAATGAAAATTCCTAGCCACCCCTATCCCTGCCTCATCGTTTATTTCTAATCTTCTCTTCACAAGAGTAAGAATTCTCTTATTCATTGCAAAATGTCGTGAGTCAGTAGGAACCAAGTTATGAATATGCTCAAGCACAACAGTTGTCAACTTAAATGTTCCATCGTTTTGTAGACTCCTTCTTACTTTTGCTTTACAATCATTTTTGGATGACAAAGATGGTTCCAGAGGGTTTACTTCTGATCTTTTTCTTCTCTTCCTCGCCCGAGTACATTCAATTCCAAAGTATTTCAGTCCCCCGTCATTACCATAATTTTATGTTCTATAAGCTATAGCAAATCCAAGGTGCTTTGCATATTTTGCATAAAATGTATACACTTCTTGCTTAGAGGTAAAGCACATCCCCTGCTTAGGTTCTTCAACTTCACCACTCTTCGGTTCTTGAACTTCTTCACTAAGATTGTTTAAACCTTCCATCCTTTTGTTGCTCTTTCAAGTTTGTAGGTTCAAATTGAAATACAAAATCCAATTCAAAAATTAAAAGAGATGGAGAGAAAAAAAATGGGCTCAGTTAGTGCTAAAAAGGAGTAATAATAATAATAATATTTCTAAATGAATAAACTCAATTTACATTCAAAATTAAGCACATTAGTCAATTTTGGCTTCAATTTCATGTTCTATACTAGTATTGTTCTACAGGATAAAAAATTTCATCTTATTAAAGTTTTAAAAGTCAAGACAAGAGTGAACATAAACAGTTGTTTCTTTCTTTCTGTTTGTTTCAAGACAAAATTAAGCACATTAGTCAATTTCTTTCTGTTTGTTTCCTGTGAAAGTTGTGGAAAATGAGGAGCAACTTTCCTTCTAACAAATAGTGAACATAAACAGCACAAAGAATTCAAAGAGAATTCAAACAGTGAATATGTAAGAATTGAAATAGTGAATACATGAGGAGCAAAATTCTTTATCCCTGTTTGATTTTCATTTGCATTTAAATATGTAAGAGTTCAAACAGTGAACATAAACAGCACAAAGAAAGCAACAACATCAAATTTCCATGATGATTTCAAGTATGATACCTGGATCCGAAGAAAATCATGTTTAGGCAACATTTTTAATTTTTATTTTTATAAGTTCCATCTTGAATCACACAGTTAATCAATTTATCAAGAAAGATAGAGAAGAAAAACATAAAATCTTATTCCACTTTGTGGTCTCAAATTTTACAAGTGAGGGTCTGTCCTTATTATTTTTTTCTTATCCACATTTTAAATTGAAAGAAAAACTCAGACAAAATTTGAACAATCAATTTATCAACATTGAAGAGACCAAAACCTTCAAATGCGTTATGTGAAGTTGACAAAATTCACTCAAAATATGGCCTCAAACCCATGGAATGCATCAATGCATCAATAAACATAGAATGCATCAATAACCAAACAAAAACTTTTTATGTGGACTTTCAACAAACACATAGAATGCATCAATACAAAAACACCAAAATTATGATTGAAACAAATTAAAGGGCTTGGTGATATGAACCAAACATGAGCAAAATCATGGACCAAGAGATTTTAACCAATGTAAAGCAAAGAATATGTTTGAAGCAATACCTCAGTAATGACCCACGAATCAGTTGCTTCTTGGTGGGTCGACGTCGAAATTTTCAGATAAACCGAAGGAATTGGAGAGTGATAGACCATGATTAATAGTCAGCAGTGGTCTTTTTCATTGTCGGTGGCCACCTCGGTCATCGTCGTCGTCGTCGAGGTCAAGTCCTCTGGGTCGTGGTCATCTCCCTCTTCATCTCCTACTTACGCTGATTTGTTTCTCTTTAGTTTTCAAGGCGCGTGAAATCTACACGGTATTTGGTGCAAGTGGCTTACATGTGTAAGAAGAGACTGCCAGCTCATTCGAGTCGTTTACGATAAGACCTCATTCAAGGTCTATAGCAAAACTGTATATTTTTCATAGGGTAATTTATATTGTCTTTTTTATGTTTAGTCATGTTTTCACTTTGGCTCTTAATTTTTTGTTCTGACTTTAAACCTCTATGTTTCAAAGTTTTTCTAATTTACTTTTAAAACTAATTTTTATTTCAAATTAGATAAAAAATGTTACATTAGTTGTCGCATGACATAAAAATATACTATTATATTAAAATTTGAATTTATATCATAGACGTAAATTATATAAAATAAAATATTTTTATACCATGTGATTTTCAGTATGTCATTTTTTATATAATTTTGAATATAAGTTAGCTTTAAAGAAAATTGATAAAAACTTAAAATATAAAAGGGCAAAGTAAAAAAAAAAATTAAGAACTAAAATAAAAAAATGATCAAACATAAAAAGACAAATTATAATTTATCCATTTTTCATATATTAACATCCAAAGATTGAAAAATTTAAAAACAAACTTAAAAATAATCATAATAATAATAATAATAATAATAAAATATACTTAAATTTCATATTTTTCATTATCAAATCACTGAAAATGAAAACAAGTCTGCTCTCTCTTTCTCTCTCTCTCCTCGATGAGCAACTGAACTGAAGTGAATCTGAAATAAACAGAGGCGAGTGGGTGATTATATCAAGAAGTGGTGATCTGCAAAGATGATGGTGGATCTGGGTTCGTTCTCGGACGAGAAGTTCGACGCGAAGAAATGGATCAACTCGGCTTGCCAATCTCGGCACCCTCAGGACCCTCTGGAGAAGCACCTTGTGGATCTGGAGATGAAGCTTCAGATGACTTCCGAGGAGATCGCCTCCTCCCTCGAGGACCAGAGCTCCGCCGCCCTCCTTCGCGTCCCCCGCGCCACTCGCGACGTCATCCGCCTCCGCGACGACGCCCTCTCCCTCCGCAACTCCGTCGCCTCCATCCTCCTCAAACTTAAAAAGGTACATTTTTTGCACAATTAATGCCGCTCCTGTTAATAATTTTTCAATTTTATTTGAATTCAAGAAATGTGATTGACTTTACATGAATGATTTTTAGTAATTGGACTACATGGATCTGGAATTTCCATGTGTTTGTTTGTGTACATATTTGTATACACTATGTATAAGCATAATTGTGATAGTTAATGTAGAAAAATCTGAATTGCAATGGTTCCAATTGGAAAGATAGCTAGGACTTACCTGACTATATATAAAATCTGTAGATAGTTTCTGAATTGCCAAAATTTGATGAGTTTAGATTTGGTATGGATCTAGAATCTGTGTGTGTGTATATATCATGAATAATATGCTGTTGAAACATAATTGTGATATTGGATGTAGAAAAACCTGAATTGTAATGCTTCCTATTGGAAAGATAGCTAGGACTTAGCTGACTATATATATATGATCTGCAGATTGTATCTGTATTGCCAAAATGTACTTGAGTTTAGATTAAGGCTTTTGGTAATTTGGACTATATGAATCTAAAATCCCAAGTCTGCTTTGTCATGTATATATCTATTACATGAAACAATGGGTGATATTAAAACAGAGGCTATTTAAAGGCCCAAACAGTGGTAATTTAGGGTTTTAACGGTTAAATTGTAGGCTAATAGGTAGGAAAAGGGATTAGAGTTGATTTATGGGTGATAGCATAGGGTTTTGGGACTGAAAAGTGTACTTTTAGAGGGTTGTCAATAGAAACCTGAGAATAGTAACTACGGTATGCATGTGCGCAAAGAAGAAGAAGAAGAGAGAAAGAGGTGCTTCACCCTTGCAATGGGTTAGGCCAATCATACACAAACACAATCTCAAAATGTCAAAATATCAACTCTTCCTTGAATCATTGAGATTGCACATATTTATAGATTAAAGATTCTCTTAATTCTAAAAAGACTAAGATTAGTACTCAAATTTAGAAACTAAAAATATTTGACAACTATTAATATTTTAGACGAACTATGATTTTGATTTCCAATTCCACCTCAATTATAATACAAAAGTTTAATGAACCCTAAGGGGTTGGCCTAGTGCCAAGGCCTTGGTTTTGGGGGTGTGCTCCCTCTAAGGTTTAGGGATCGAAACCTAGTAGGTGCTAACAATTCCTTGGGGCTATCGGATTAAGGGAAAACCTTTGAATTAACCGTGGTGCACTTGAGGGAAACAACTTGCTGAGGGCCTGTGCATCCCCCGGGGATTAGTCGGGCTTTGATTCGGACACCCCAGTGCCAATCAAAAATAAAAAAATTAATAATACAAAAGTTTATTGATTTCTAATTCTATTTGAACTTCAAAATAGGAAACTTAGAATTTTTTAGCTATTAAGATTATTCTAGACATAATAAAACCCATATATAATGACCTATTTAATAGCTTAACTCAAAATGAAACCATGGGTGACCCCTACAACCTATGTCTGATAGTTATTGAAATTACCATAATGCCCTTAGTACTAAACACTAGAACAACTAGAATAAAACAAATAAAGATTTAAAATTATTCCGAATTTCAATTCATGATGTCCTAAATGTGCTCCACGTGAAATTTCAGTTTTGTCATTTTTGCCCTTTCTATGATCGTCATCAATGGGTTTGGAAAGACCTGGCCTAGCTTCTTTCTAAACCAAACTAAAACAAACCAAACAAAACAAACATTTGTGTTCCAATCAAGTGTTGTCTACTACATGAATATTCTTTTGCCATTCTGCTTGGTCTAGGGGCTATATGCTCAGTTAAATTAAATAAATTTGTATATATATTTATTATTCTATCCCATGTTAGTTTAGGTCTTCTTTTTCCCTTAACATTTTCATTTTTGATGATCACATCACTCTTCCTTATTGTTGCATTTGTAGGCCTTCCTTGTACATGACCAACCCATCTTAGCATGTTCTCTCTCAACTTGTCTTCAATGGGTGTTGCTCCTACCATTTCACGAATATATTCATTTTTAATTATATTTTTCCTAGTCTTACCATTCGTCTATTTAAATATTTTCATCCTATTGTTTCTTAGTTGCCCAACATTATATCTCATAAAGCATAGCTAGTTTTATAGATTCTATAAAATTAACCTTTGAATTTTATTGGTATTCATCAATCACATAATATACTACACACCCCCTCCACTTGAGCCAATTTACTTTGATTCTATGGATCACATTATACATCGTCTTCAACCTCGCCATCCTTATTGATAATCAAATCTAACTAACGGAAATGTTCACTATTTGTTTTCTCCCGGTCTTCAATCTTCATTTCTTCATAATTTCTATTTCTACTTTCATTAAGGTTACATTTCATATATTTAGTTTTATTTCTACTAGTTTCAAATCCTTATGAGTGTTTCTATCTGGATTTATGATTTAGTGTTAATTCCTTCTTTAGTTTCATCCACTATCTAAAAGTTAGCATTTAGAGCATTTGAATTGAGTTGTAGCTAGGAGCATAACTTTATCTCCATGAGAGTTTCTCTCTCCCCACCCATTCTCCATCTAAACTGTTATGGTATCATCCACAGGCCGAGGGATCCTCAGCAGAATCCATAGCCACCCTAGCCAAAGTTGATACTGTGAAGCGGAGGATGGAAGCGGCTTATGAAACGCTGCAGGTAGTGATTGTTATAATTTTGTTTCGCTGTCTCTTCTGCGTTTTGGAGCAAGGCCTATCAGTTTGTTGAGAGACTTCTGTGTTTCCATCTATATATAGGATGCTGCTGGGTTAACTCAACTAAGTTCAACGGTTGAAGATGTCTTTGCTAGTGGTGACCTTCCTCGTGCTGCCGAAACCTTGGCTAACATGAGGCATTGCTTGTCTGCTGTTGGCGAGGTAACTTGTTATAACATAACTAAATTTATCTTGTGCACTGTGTTGTCATCCATAAAGTTTCACATATGATTTTTCTGGAACCCTGCATTTTCAGGTTGCCGAATTTGCAAATATTAGAAAGCAGCTTGAGGTCTTAGAGGACAGACTAGACACAATGGTTCAGCCTCGTTTAACAGATGCTTTATCTAATCGCAAGGTTACATATTTTTTTAATTGGTTGCTTTCATGTTATTTGCATCACCTCAATACCCTTTTCTACTTGGTACATACCCAAGTAAATTTCTTCAGATACTCTCCCCGTTTTGATTTCTAGGTTGATGTTGCTCGAGATTTGAGGGGAATTCTTATTCGAATTGGGAGATTCAAGTCATTAGAGCAGCACTATACTAAAGTCCACTTGAAGCCTATAAAGCAGCTCTGGGAAGATTTTGACTCACAAAATCGAACTAATAAGCTTGCAAACGAGAAAAGTGAGCTTGAAAGGATATCAAATAGTCATGATTTTCGGCCAAGCTTGCCTACAGTTTCATTCTCAAGTTGGTTGCCCAGTTTCTATGATGAATTGCTGCTTTATTTAGAACAAGAATGGAAGTGGTAAAGTTTAGATCTTTAGTTTCTGTTTTCACATTCCTCTCGTTGCTAGGATAGAGATGGGCAATCAATTTCTTAATCAGAGGATTTGCATGGTAATACTACTGTTGACATGGGTGGCCATGTCTATAATAAATGCATATTATAGAGTATTAGTTTCTGTTATTCCGAACAATGTCTTTTTTATATGAGTAAAACTGGTTAGAAATGTCAATGGTCTCTTTTGAGCCAGTTTTCTTCCCTTGACAATGAATTTGTAAATTGTTCATCCTTTTCCCCACCTATCTGTCATGAGAATTTGTATCATTCCACTAGAAGTGTAGTTTATCTGCAGTATATTATCATAAGACGTCATGATCTTGCAGAAGTCATAATACTGGGTAGTGCATTTTAAACATTAGTTAATGGGTTGATATCAAAATCTGCAACAGTGCATTTTCAAGGTTTTCAACCCTATCCTGGATTTACTGTAAAAGGACCTTAGATTTCTGGATTTTATTTTATATATAAAAATGTACACCCCTTTTTCTTTTCTTTTTTCTGTTTAACACTGGAAGTAAGTGAGGGCATTCTGTGGGTTTTCCTGAAACCTGCATTGTCATGCATCTTGGCAAAATATGTTGCACAAATATGATGCCAAACCATATTTGTGATAACCACCATTCAGAATTTTTGGAACATGTGTACTAATATTTTAATGTGATATGCGCAGTACACATTTCATGGACTGGCAGTTGTTTATGTATCTGCTTGTTGCTTAACTGTACACAAAAACTGCATTGCAATTGCATTTACTTGATCTGCAGAGGGTCTCAGATCTTCCGCAAATAGATTCAACCATTTTTATTTTGTATAACCTAGGAACATGCGGTAGAAGACATATAATCATTGCATCCTTTAAGAAAAACTCGGGGTTTGTTCCTTGAAAACATATTAATGTGCAAATAGAGAGATAATGTTGAAATATATTGTATAAGATTTTCCTTTACAATGGAACTTAATTTTCTAGATTTTGCTATTTATCTGCAGGTGTATGACTGCTTTTCCAGATGATTATAAGACTCTTGTCCCAAAGCTTCTAATCGAGGCAATGACAACTGTGGGTGCAAATTTTGTATCCCGTATCAACCTAGCAACTGGAGAGGTTGTTCCTGAAACAAAAACATTGGCTAAAGGTTGAGCTTTAGTATCTTTTAGGAGTTCGTATTGAAAGCCATTGCTTTCTTTTAGACATCATATGTTGTTCTGCATGGTTTGACTGTCATAGGGCATTACATTCTAATGCTTATGTTCTTTCATTTTTAGAATTTTAGTTCATTAAATAGATTGTTGTTTGAGGTTTTAAATTATCCAACTATATAGATGCTCGGCTTCTCTTTACATGTGTTTTACAACCAGTCCAAGAAACATAAGATGAGTAAAGCAATCCATGTAATGTCATTTGACTTCAATTATGACCTAGTGAAAAACTTAAAATAAAGAATTGTATTTTTTTTGGGTCCTTAATTATGTCAAAATTGAAAAAATAGATACAATGAAGAATTTATGGTGTATTTAGAAGATGAAGAGAGGTTTTTTTTTTATTTTAAGAATCAGCTTTTCATTTCTTCCTGATCTCAAATAGTCCCTTGTGGGGGAACAGATTTTGTTGCAGATTCTCTCTCTCTCTCTCTCTCTCTCACACACACACACACATTTTATATTTATTGTCCTTCTCTCTTTATTCATGATTTCTTACTTGTCCAAAAAAAATTAAAATAAAAAATCCAGATTCCTCTCTTGGATAGGAGCCCCTAATACACCCACTTATAGTTTCAATTTGCTTTGGAGTCCTTGTATTCTTACCTTGGTAAGATGCACGTGACAAACATTTCTTAGATCCGATACTGTAAATTTTATTGTGTGGCTGGATAAGTTGGTTGGGCTTGGATTTGATGAAGACGATTACACGTTATGCTGCTTAACTCTCCTCCATTTGTTTGATTCTTTTGCTGGTTTCTTCTTAGAAAATTTGCATGCACTTATTCAAGTCTTTCCATATTTCTGATGTCGCTATCTTGATCGAATTTGTTTGTACTTGCATCTACTGAACCAACATTGCTTCTTATGTTTCTGCGATTTATGTGGTTGGTTTGATGTCTACTGGGGCATTCTTTCTGGCAAATAATATTCTGTTGGCTTTCCCTTCTGTGACTTGCTGTCTTCATTATGTTTAACCTGATCAGTTCTAAAATGATCTGGAAGCCTGAGATTCGGAGAGACAACTTCTGGATGTGATGGATTTGGATTAATTAGGTACTGAATCTTTTTTCTGTCATCATTTTCAATTTTCAGGTATGTTAGATATCTTATCTGGGGATATGCCAAAAGGTGTTAAAGTTCAGACCAAGCATCTTGAGGCACTGATTGAACTACACAATATGACAGGAACTTTTGCAAGAAATATTCAACACCTTTTTTCAGAATCTGATCTTCAGGTTTTATTGGATACACTGAAGGCAGTATACTTACCTTATGAATCGTTTAAACAGAAGTAAGCACATGTAGGATAGATGCATGTCTTTTCTTATTTTTTACTTTTATTTTTTTATGTTTGCTATTCTTCTGTTTCTGTTTGAAGTGACATTTTCCTTCTTTTTTTTTTTTTTCATCTTAGCTAATGCAGCACAGTTATCTATAGATCTTTTCTTTCTTTCTTTCTTTCTTTTTTTTTTTCCTACATGCAAGCATTTGTGCCTTAAGTTAGAATTTGCTTATTTTCGTTTTAATGTGCATAAATTTTGACCATGCTATGATTCTGTTGATCCCACTAGGATGTTTACTCTATGTTGGTCATTATGGGTACTAAATACTAATACCATGTCACCATTATACCTTCACGTGGTGGCTTGGGCACCTGTCCACAGGGGGCTTTGGCTCCAATACTCCTGAAATCTATATACGAATGTGATGCATGCAGCTACACGTCACATCATCATACACCATCATGATCACATCATTATATACATAGCTAAGACATGAGCATTTGCCTATCTTGCACACAACAAACTAAGTGTTCAAGGTTTCTTATTTTATTTTATTTTTTTTTTATAAATAAACAAATATATAAAAACATCAAGGAGATGCAACAAATACACAACGGCCGCCCTAGTTAGGAGGAAAAAAGAAACAAGTATTAACCAATCACATCATCTAAGAAATCTAAGAAGACAAAAAGATCTAGATCAACTTTCTCCGCTAACCAACTATACAAAACTACAAGAAAACGATTCTCTAATCAAGAGACATCATGTGACACCTCGGAAAAAGTGTGTCTATTCCGCTCCAACCAAACAAGCCACATTAAACAAAATGGTGCCAACAATCACACCCGCCAACGTCGATGCCCAAGCTGAACACCCCGCCAAACCCAAAGCAAATCCAACACGTCCTTTGGTTGAACCCAAGCAATCCCAAAAAGTGAGCAAACAAAACCCCACAAAGGTGATGCCAGCGAACAATGAAGAAACACATGATCCACCGACTCTGCATCAGTGCAACACAAACAACACCGATTTACTAAAACATACCCCCGCCGCATCAAATTATCCAACGTTAAATTCCTTCCTAAAGCTACCATCCACATAAAGAAAGCAACCTTAGATGGAACTTCCGGAATCCAAACACTCTTCCATGAGAAAACCCTTCCACAATCCCCCACCAAACCCCAATAGAAAGACGCAATTGTGAAACACCCCTTTGCCCCCCCCCAAAAAAAATTAAAATAACCCTCCCTAGTCAACCCCAAACCGTATAAAAAAACCCCACAACTCCACCAATTGAGCAACCTCCCAATCATGCACCTCTCGCCGTAGCTGAATATCCCAAACCACCGTACCGTCACCTCCCAAATAAGAAGCAACGGGAGCCTCCCGATCAATCGCAATATTAAAAATTAGAGGGAAACGAGTCTCCAGCAAAATCCCACCACACCAGCTATCCTTCCAGAACCTAACCCTCACCCCATTCCCTACCTTGAACCCAACCCACTTCCAAAACTCCACCCGCCCCAACCAAATCCATTTTCATAACCCACAACCATAAGTACAAGCCACATCCGTTGAAACCCAATCCCCCCAACCCATCCCATACTTAGAAGCCACCACCTTACGCCAAAATCGATCAGGCTCCAACGCAAAACGCCACAACCACTTCCCTAAGAGAGCTCTATTGAAAGTCACCAACCGCCTCATCTCCAAACCCCCTGCTTGCTTAGGTAGACAAATCCCCCCCCCTAATCCACCAAATGATACCGGAACTCGGCACCGCCACTTCCTCACAAAAAATCCCTCTGAAACTTCTCCAACCGTTGCGCCACTGACATTGGAATAACATGAATCGACATGAATTACTTGGGAATACTGCTCAACACACTCTTAATCAATGTCAGTCTCTCTCCGGTCGAAAGATATTGATGCTTCCAACCCGCTAGACGATGTTGGACACGTTCCACTGCCCCCTCCCACACCCCCTTCGCCTTGAACGATGCCCCTAACAGCAAACCCAAATACCATTGCGCCACTGACATTGGAATAACATGAATCGACATGAATTAGGTGGGAATACTGCTCAACACACTCTTAATTAATGCCAGTCTCACTCCGGTCGAAAGATATTGATGCTTCCAACCCGCTAGACGACGTTGGACACATTCCACTACCCCCTCCCACACCCCCTTTGCCTTGAACGATGCCCCTAACGGCAAACCCAAATAAGTCACCGACAACACCGACACCTTGTAACCCAAAACTGCCACTAAAATGGGTAGCCTTTCAACCTTCCCAATTGGAATAAGCTCTGACTTTCGTAAGTTGACCCGAAGGCCCGACACTACCTCAAAGCAAAGCAAAACACATCTCAGATGGCCAACTTGTTTCACTTCAGCCCCACAAAAAAATCAAAACATCATCTGTGTATAACAAATGAGATACACCAATAGTAGTACTAGATAACGACCCCACAGAAAACCTTCTAGAAGCCTTCCTGCACCGTTCTATCCAACAATCTACTAAACGCCTCTATTACTAGAATAAATAACATTGGTGACAAAGGGTCCCCTTGTCGTAGACCTTGATAAGTTGGAAAGAAACCCGCTGGAGTTCCATTAATTAACACCAACATCCGCACAGTCGAAATGCAAAACTTGATCCACTGACACCAAGTCTCCTCAAAGCCCATACGACCCAACACATACAAGAGGAACTCCCAATTAACATTGTCATATGCCTTTTTGATGTCCAATTTACAAATCAAACCAGGACAATCCTGCCAAACTCGGGAATCCACACACTCATTGGCAACCAACACTGCATCAAGAATTTGTCTCCCCTCCACAAACGCATTCTAAGACTCTAAAACTGCAGTCGGCAAAACTCCTACAAGGTGATTAACCAACACTTTAGCCAATAACTTATACACACTCCCCAACAGACTAATAGGTCTAAAATCCTGCACATCTTCAGCCCCCCCTTTCTTAGGAATCAAAGCTAGAAAAGTCACATTAAGTGCTTGATTGGGGTATACTATAAAAGATAAAAAGCCAAAAAGTTAATAAAAAAGCAAAAAAGTTAACACTATTCACAAAAGTCAAGGGTACAAAACAAAAATTAAAATATTGTATCAGCACAGTACACATCATGGGTACAAAACCCCAAAAAAAAAAAAAAAATTATTGTAGAAACAATTGTTGGGATATCACCCCATGTGAGAAACTTAAGACACACACCTTAATGGTCTTAGCCCAAGATTGATTCTGATTACCCAACCACCGTGGAAAAAAAAAAAAAAAATCCCAACTTCTCCAGTACGCACAGATCTGCCACATGGATTGCATGTCAGTATGTATATGGGTAAAATCGTAATTTTACTAATTTATACAATATTTTAATGCACATTTTTTCGTAAAAAGTCAAAAAGTTATCCCAAACAATCATCTTTTTTTCTTCCACTTTTTAATCCAAAAAGTCAAAAAGTGCACTTATAAACAACCCCTAAACTTTTCTCAAACTGTCTAGACACAACAAAATCCTCCAAGTTGCCATCACATCTTCCTTAACCACACTCCAACAGTGTTGGAAGAAAGGCATAGTAAAATTATCAAGACTCGGGGCTTTATCCCCACTTATAGCCCGCAAAGCCCCAAACACCTCCTTCTCCGCAAAAGTTTGCTCCAACTATTCCCTATCCTCTCCTGAGATCACATCAAACGGCACACCTTCCAAACCCGACCGCCAAGCCCGATCTTGGTTTCGGAATAAATATTGATAGAAACCCACAACCCCGTCCCTAATCTCCCCATTGTGTGAAGCTCTCGGCCATCCACAGACATCCTACTAATCTGATTAACTCTCTGATAGGCATTCGCCAATGGGTATTTGCCATCCGATGGAAGAATTTCGTAACCACAAACACCTAGATTTTTGACGAAAACGAACCTCCTCCATCCGGGAAATATGAACGAAGTCCTGTCTAGCCGATGCCTTCCTCACAACATCCTCACTAGACAACCCCCCTTGTACCTCTAGCTCATCCAAGGACTGGTGTAAGGACACCACCGCCGCATTTTGGGCCTCTAACCTACCAAACACCTCCTTATTCCCTTGCTTCAAGTCTTCTTTCAGCATTTTTAGTTTATTGGCCAACACACAACTAGGAGACCCAGAAAACACATAACTATTCCACCATGCCAGAACCAAATCTAGAAAGCCTTCCGTTTGCAGCCACATATTCTAAAAGCTAAATGGTGTGGGAACCTACCGAATCCCCCCACTATCAAGCAAGATGGGCCAATGGTTAGACACTGGCCAAGGTAAAGGGTTCTGAACAACCTCCATAAAATGCTCCTCCCAAGCACCATTGACCAGAAACCGGTCAATGCGAGACATCCTCTGCCCATTTGACCACGTAAAGTTTCCTCCCTGCATAGGTAAATCAACCAACGGCACAGTATCTATGAAAGAACAAAAGGCCCTCATTGCACCCGAGCTCCGAGTACTCCCCACCTTCTCCGATGGCCACCGAACAACATTAAAATCACCCCTCACACACCAAGGAACATCCTATCTAAACACAATATTCTCCAACTCCTCCAAGAAAACACCCGCTCTAAATTTTGCACCGGCCCATACCACCCCAGTAAAACCCCACTGAAACTGGTCCACACAACGAAACAAACAAGAAACGGAATAACTCCCAACCTCCTCCTCCTCCTCCTCCTTCACCAACACTCGCCTATCCTAGCAAAGAAGAACCCCACCCGCCATGCCCACCGATGGCAAATATGTCCACTCCACAAATCTCCCTCCCCCCCCTCCCCTCACACTTCACGAAGCAATTCCAACCCCAACACCTCCAACTTAGTTTCTTGTAAACACACAACATCAGCTTTTGCATGCCTTAGTACGGCCTTCACCGCCACCCGCTTGTCCTTGTTATTCAATTCCCGCACATTCCAAGATAGGATTATTAATTTCATTTCAACAAAAGTGGTCTCCCACGATCTTGTCTGGCACCGCGTCCTACACATTTCACACCATGATCGTAACTCATTGTGCATTCCAGCTTTTTAAGCTCCCAATTCCTTTTACAAGGAGTTACGAAAGGCATGGACCCCTGATTAGGAGCCCTTTGCCTCCATGATGCCTCAACTGCTACAAACAATCGAATTGCCTCCTCTTCATGACCGTCAAACGACAGGTCCAAACAACGACTAACTTCGCTGATGCGTTCCAGCACCCATCCTGACACTGCCTTAGGTGACGGAACCTCCTCCTCACTCTGCTCACTATTAACCTCGAATTCCTGTTGGTTCTGTTCCAGAGCTACCATCAAAGCCCTTACCTCCACCACTATAGGTCGCACCACCAGAGCCTGTATTTCTCTTCCACTAACGTTCCCCTGCCCACCATCGTCGGCCCCAGGGACACCGCTAGGCCTCGCCGTAGCAGACTGGTGCACTTTGTCTTTTGAACCCGAACCATCCGACTGGGAGCAAGAACCCCAATCAGAGACCATCGTCCTTAACCCAAGTCACCATCGTCCTTAACCCAAGTCCAGGAACAGAGGAATCGCAACGAACCACCATCGCCAGCCCCAACGTCTTCGCTGATCATTGCCGTTAGTCGACATCAGCTGCCGAGTTCACCTGACCCAACTCGCCTTGCTTTGTATCAATCAAAGCACCAGAACCAAACCCTTCTGCAACCCAACCCACAACAATACCATCTGGACTAGCGTTGGGTTGCAAAGATTGGGCCGAAGTACCCCTATTTGGGCTTGGCTCACAAACAGAAGAACCCATCCCGGTATGTGCTAGGCCCCCCACTTGCAAAACCTTATTTTTGAGTCACAACCCACCGTTGTTGGCCCACAACTGATTTGCCAACTTGTTGGGCCTTTCCCATGCCCACCGGTCCCCCATTAAACACCCGTGGACCACCTTCCTCAAACCCTAAATGTGGATCCCATTTACCCCGATTGCCCATGGATCCACCCTCCTTCCTAAATCTTTGCAAATATTCAGTCACCCCCAATCCTCACAGAAATATCGACTTTGATTGCACTAGATCTACCCCCGCCATGTTTGGACCAAATTTCCCATCCTTCACAGCCGGTAACGCCCTTAGCTCCACCACCAGATCGGCTTCTACCTAAACTGGCAAAGAAAACTACCACCTCACCTTCCCCAACGGAGAGCAACTCATGCCGGTGTAGTCTCCGAACATCTGACACGCAATCAGATCGAGCCCAAATCCACCGGGGATTCATCCGCCTATCACCAATAATGTGATACACCTCTTCCCTACAGAGATGAATAGGAAGACCCGACACCCGAATCCAGACACTCTTTTCAGGCTGCAAGATCTTCCCTGAAATACAGAGGACCAGTGGTGACCACCATTGCAGCACCAAATCCCGCCCATCCACTATCCACCATTGTCGCAACAACACCTCCGCCTCACTTCTAGTCGGTAGAACGAACAGAAATGCCTTGTCACCCATCGGTCTCACCTCCACCTTCCCCGATTGTTGCCACTAGCGGCCAACCCAGTCTGAGATAGCCGTGAAACTGAAGCCCTTGCCACCCAAAGCCCTCAACGTACCCACCGACCTATCCAACAGCCAAAACCACTCCACCTCCACCCCAGTGCGAACAACCCCTTCCGACGCACTTTGAGTGGCTGGTAACAACATTCCCAAAATGGACGTTACCTTCCTCGAACCACCAGGTCGCGACACCCAGGCATCAGTCAGCCCAAAGCCTTCTAAAACCAGCGCTACCCCTTCCCAACCATCACCGAAAGCAAACATAGGGATGAAAATCTGTTCTCGCCTCTAACCTACTATCACCACTATTTGAAACGACGATCCCCCACCATTCTCGCCACATACCCAGACTGCAATGGAGTAAAGGCCACCACTAAGATGACCCAAGAATTTGAGATTCCCTGGTTCCGTCGATGCTATCTTCATTTTCACCACAATCCAATGTACTTCTGACCCACACAACACCACCGCCTATCGGAGCCCCTCTCCCCTCTCAACAATGGACAACTTACATTTCCCATCCACTCCCGCCAAGGTCTCCTCAAACTTGAACGGCCGGCCGCCAAGAAAGAGAATCCGCCGGTGAGGCCCAACTTCTTTCCTAATTGGTGACATTTCCTCTCCTAAACTTTCGGAGTATCACTCAACTATATTTTTCCAACAGCATCTTAATATAAGGATGAGACCAATTTCAAATTAAGTGTTCAAAGTTTCTTAATGCCACCCTTTCTATCTCTAAGGTTGTTTGATCTTCTCAGCTGCCTCCCCTGGAAGTCCACAACCAACCACCTCTAACACTCCTTACCTACTGTCATATTCTTAAAATGCTCCTGACACTCCCAAAGGTTTCAAGCGTCGGTTGGAACATGGTTCCTTGAATAAAAAATTAATAATACAAAGAACTTTCCAATTGGTCCTAAGTTCCCGTGAATCAGGTCTCTCTTGGGAACTGAGGTTTTGGTAACTATGCTTGAGATTGTTTATTCTTTCCATATATAATAATTACACTTCATTTCCTCTCAACTTTTGGCATGACATGGCGGGATCTTCGACTTGCCAAGTCACTCTGCTGCGGAGGTATTGATTTCAAATTCAAGAATATGTTCACATCATATCTATGTCTAGAATGGTTCTAACTTCTAAATGAGACTTGCTTTTACAGTAATCCTATAGTATTTTTCTGGCAATGGTTACAGTGTCCAACATTGCCACTACTAGTGCCGTAGAAAATGTCTCTTTTTGTTTTATTGCATCCAACATTTTCTGGATCTGCTTTCTTCTTTCTTTGCTATTGATTGGAGAACATATTCCTATTTCCCATCTGATTACCCATAATTTAACGTGTATTATAGGTATGGGCAGATGGAGCGTTCTATACTTTCTGCTGGGATTGCAGGACTGGATCTTAGGGGAGCTGTTGCTCGCGGGGTTGGGGCCCAGGGAGTTGAACTTAGTGAAACAGTACGAAGAATGGAGGAGTCCATTCCACAAGTCATTGTTCTTCTTGAAGCTTCTGTAGAAAGATGCATCAATTTTACTGGAGGTTCTGAGGCAGATGAGCTAATGCTTGCCCTCGATGACGTAATGTTACAATATATATCCACTCTGCAAGAAACCTTGAAATCATTGAGAGCTGTATGTGGAGTGGATGTTGATGGTGTTGGTTCAAAGAAGGAAATTGGATTGGACAAAAAGGAAGGAGCTCACAGTTCTCGTAAATCTGACTTGATATCAAATGAGGAGGAGTGGTCCATTGTCCAAGGTGCATTGCAGATCCTCACTGTGACAGACTGTTTAACAAGTCGATCCTCAGTCTTTGAAGCTACCTTGAGAGCTACTCTTGCTAGACTCAGCACAAGTCTGTCTATTGCAGTATTTGGTTCTAGTCTGGACCAAAACCCTTCCCATGTGGCTGGTGACGATGGAAGTGGGGAATTATCTTTGGCCGGAAGGGCTGCCTTGGATGTGGCATCTGTGAGGCTTCTTGACATTCCTGAAAAAGCTCGGAAGCTATTCAACCTTTTAGAGCAGGTACGTAAAATCAGTATTTGTTTATTTACTTTTCTATTTATGTGTCACTTTTTTGTGGGTTACGGATAGGCGGTGATCTTATGTAGCTTTGTTTTAGTTTCTTCCCCCATCCTTAAGAATGAATCTGACTATTTTTCTTGCATTCCAAACATAAAGTCGTGGCTGAATAAACTTGAATATACTAACCATAAAACAGAGTGAAGTAACCTTATGAGACTTTCTAACTGAAATAGGCAGCATGTGATTCGAAGAGAAAAGTTGAAGGTAAAAGAAAATAAAGTCAAGTGAATGCTTCAAATGTGAAATATGATCTATACCACGTCCCAAGCTCTCTCTCTCTCTCTCAATGTATACATGCATGTATGGATATTTATATTTCTGTATGCTGATCATATAAAAATTCTTGATAACCCACTAATCAAGTTAAAAATGGGCCATAATTGAGTTTTGAGACAAAAGACCAATTTTTGTAAATGTTGTGAATTTTCTTTAGTGGTGACCACTTTTCCAGATCTATTTTAGTGTCCTTTATTAAATTGTTCAGAAGTTTCAATTCATGCCGTTATAGTTTATTCATGCCCTTATAGCTTTCTGTAAATAGCTTTCATATAAAAATGCCATACATGTTTTCATGTGCATGTCCTTGTACAGTGAATTTCATAATAAGATTATGAACTGCAAGTATCTATTCAATTTGGACCCAAGTTGTAAGAACTATTTTTTCCCCCAAAAATGTCCGGATGCCTTGCCACAATGGAAGATTATATCAAGATATTGGCACAGTTTATGTGCTTCAGCTAGAACAGCCCAAGAAAATATGAAATCCAAGTCTAATGGAGGTTAATTTTAAGCTTAGCATTTAAAAGGTAGTCTATACAGTTCCTTTCAGCCTACATGCGGAGTTTCCTGTAAATTTTTTACAATCTATTTCAGTTCATTACCTGACTTTTATAACACATGCATGATTATGCATGCATAATTTTGAGATCAACGATGAATTTATTTTCTTACCTTTGTATGCCTTATGTTCTACATTTTACTTTATATTCATAACAGTATTCCTACATTGTCTTGCAGTCAAAAGATCCCCGGTTCCATGCCCTTCCTCTTGCATCTCAACGTGTTGCAGCATTTGCAGACACAGTGAATGAACTTGTTTATGACGTTCTTATATCCAAAGTACGACAACGACTTAGTGATGTGTCTCATTTGCCGATCTGGTCCTCAATCGAGGAACCAAGCGCTTTCCATCTTCCGAGCTTTAGTGCATACCCCCAGTCCTATGTGACCAGTGTTGGCGAATATCTTCTTACTTTACCCCAACAATTGGAGCCACTTGCTGAGGGCATTTCTAATGGTGATGCCAACACTGATGACGCACAGTTCTTTGCAACTGAATGGATGTTCAAGGTAACCACCTCATTCTATATTGGATAGTATTGAATCTTGTTTTTGTACATACATGTGACTCACATATTATGTTTTGGGGGTAGGGAGGTGGAGTGGGAGAAAAGGATAGGGTTAGACCTTCGCTTTAACGACCTACTTCTAACTATTAGCTGTTATTCTATATACCATAGGAATATGTATTATTTTTTTCCATTCTATCTTCATTTGTGAAGAGCGTTCCTATTAATAGTGTGAGAGAGTTCTAGACGGTCCAAAATCATTTGGTTACTATTGTTTTTGTCATTGAGAACTGGCTGAACGGAACCCAAACTTAGATGGTTTTTGCACCAAAGAAGATGTGGTAAGTGCTGCCCAGGATACCAGGGGGACCTATGGTGAATACTTGAGGGGTGCTGCTAATAGTACCCCCAATTTGTTCTTAGGACCCCTCACTTCTTCATAATTTTTTTTATTACAAATCTACCCTCACAAAATTCCATTCATACCCTTATCCCTACCCATCCAAACCCTGAACCTAATACCTCCCCACCCCAGCCACCACTCATCACCACCATCTCAGACCACTAGCCACCCCTGCCCCCATCCACCTCCGGTCACCACCCCTAGGCCCTCCCAGTCCCTCCCTGCCTTCCCCAACGCCTCTCTGCCCTCCTTTGTCACCGTCCAGGCCCTTGGCCCCTTATCTTCTCTTGAGAGAGAGAGAGATCGCATTTTAGGTTGATGGAGGTGTCAGAGGGTGGGGAGGGGCTGGGGGTAGTGGTGGGTGATGACTAGGGATTGAGAGTGGGATTATTTTTGGTAGTAAGTGGAGTGTTCAAAGAACTTCTGAAAAATGTGAAATTTTGGTGGTAGGAGTTCAAAGGTCCAAAGAATTTATGTGGGGGCTATTAGCAATTCCCATGCTCAAGGACATGCTTTTCTTTATTAATTAACAATCAGAAATTATATTTGTCAGGGTGCAAGATAACTAGTTATTTCTTTTGATCTTCTTGTTTTAAAGGTTGCTGAGGGTGCAACGGCTCTCTACATGGAGCAGCTGCGGGGGATTCATTTTATAAATGACCGTGGTGCACAACAACTTTCTGTTGATATTGAGTACTTAAGCAACGTGCTTTCTGCACTTTCAATGCCGATCCCTCAAATCCTCACCACATTCCATACATGCCTTTCAACCCCAAGAGACCAATTGAAAGATCTTGTCAAGTCAGACTCAGGAAATCAACTCGATCTTCCAACAGCAAACCTTGTGTGTAAGATGCGCCGTGTGAGTATAGAACAGTAATTTTTTTACCGAAGATCTTTTACTAAAATTGAGTCTTTGCCCAATAGATGCTACCAAAATCTATAGCAAGCATAAGATTTTCATTGCCTGTTAATTGATTGTAGAGTTCTATACAAGTTCTTGGAATACAATCAGTGTGTTTGGTTCCAGTTTTCTGAATTTAGTTTTCTAAAAATTGGAGTTTTTTGTTTTTCGTATTTTTTTGTTTTTAACTTTCCAATTGGTCTAAGTTCCGTGAAATCAGGTCTCTCTTGGGAACTGAGGTTTTGGTAACTATGCTTGAGATTGTTTATTTCTTCCATATATAATAAATTACACTTCATTTCCTCTCAACTTCTGGCAATGACATGGCGGGATCTTCGACTTGCCAAATCACTCTGTTGCGGAGTATTGATTTCAAATTCAAGAATATGTTCACATATATCTATGTCTAGAATGGTTCTAACTTCTAAATGAGACTTGCTTGTAACAGTAATCCTATAGTATTTTTCTGGCAAATGGTTACAGTGTCCCAACATGCCACTACTAGTGCCATAGAAAATGTCTTTTTGTTTATTACATCCAACATTTTCTGGATCTGCTTTCTTCTTCTTTGCTATTGATTGGAGAACATATTCCTATTTCCACTGAATTACCCATATTTAACGTGTATTATAGGTATGGGCCAGATGCGCGTTCTATACTTTCTGCTGGATTGCAATAGGGACTGGAATTTTAGGGGAGCTTGTTGCTTCGCGGGGTTTGGGGCCCGGGAGTTGAACCTAGTGACACAGTAACGAAGAATGAGGAGTCCATTCCACAAGTCATGTTCTTCTTGAAGCTTCCTGTAGAAAACTGCATCAATTTTCACTGGAGTTTCTGAGCAGATACTAATGCTTGCCACCATCCGATAACGTAATGTTAAATATATATCCACTCTGCAAGAAAACATTGAAATCATTTGAGAGCTGTATGTGGAGTGGATGTGATGTGTTTTGGTTCAAAGAAGGAAATGGATTGGACAAAAAGGAAGGAGCTCACAGTTCTCGTAAATCTGACTTGATATAAATGAAGGAGGAGTGGTCCATTTGTCCAAGGTGCATTGCAGATCTCACTGTGACAGACTGTTAACAAGTCGCTCCTCAGTCTTTGAAGCTTCCTTTGAAGCTACTCTGCTAGACTCAGCACAAGTCTGTCCTATTGCAGTATTTGGTTCTAGTCTGGACCAAAACGCTTCCCATGTGGCGGGATGATGGAAAGGGGGAATTATCTTTGGCCGGAGGGCTGGCCTGGATGTTGGCCATCTGTGAGGCTTCTTGACATTCCTGAAAGCTGGAAGCTATTCAACCTTTTAGAGCAGGTAAGTAAAATCAGTATTTGTTATTTACCTTTTCTAGTTTATGTGTCAATTTTTTGTGGTTCGGATAGGCGGTGATCTTAATGTAGCTTTGTTTTAGTTTTCTTCCCATCCTTAAGAATGACTCTGACTATTTTTCTTGGCATTCCAACATAAAGTCGCGGCCTGAATAAACTTGGCTATACAACCATAAAACAGAGTGTAAGTAACTTATGAGACTTTCTACACTGAAGATAGGCAGCATGTATTTCGAAGAGAAAAAGTTTGAAGGTAAAAGAAAATAAAGTTAGTGAAATGCTTCAAATGTTGAAATATGATCTATACCACCTCCCAAGCTCTCTCTCTCTCTCACTCCTCAATGTAATAACATGCATATAGGATTATTATAATTTCTGTAATGCTGATCATTAAAAGTTCTTTGATAACCAACCTCCGTTTGCTCCGGTTTTTGGCATACGCCTTATTTCCTCCCTTTAGAGAGACACTGTGGCCCGAGAGACCACCTTTGTGGTCATACGCCACTTTCGGTAGCCTGTTTTCGGGGCCCCGAACCGCGCGTTTTGGCCCCCGGACCGCGCGTTTTGCACCCGTTTTGGTCCATTTTTGGTAGGGACCCTATTTTCATTGCTAGGGAGGTGGTAGGATGGTGGTCGGCCACCTTTTCCCCTAAAAAGCCAGTTTTCTCATTTTCTCTCTCTAAAAGTCGGTTTTTTTGACAGAAAGCTGATTTTTCTCACTTTTGAGCCACATTTTCTGGTTTTTCATACCACCATTGTGATCTACTCATCTGAGAGGCCATCAAAGCCCTTACCTCCACCACTATAGGTTGCACCACCAGAGCCTGTATTTCTCTTCCACTAACGTTCCCCTGCCCACCATCGTCGAATAATTACACACCGCTAGGCCTCGCCGTAGCAGACTGGTGCACTTTGTCTTTTGAACCCGAACCATCCGACTGGGAGCAAGAACCCCAATCAGAGACCATCGTCCTTAACCCAAGTCACCATCGTCCTTAACCCAAGTCCAGGAACAGAGGAATCGCAACGAACCACCATCGCCAGCCCCAACGTCTTCGCTGATCATTGCCGTTAGTCGACATCAGCTGCCGAGTTCACCTGACCCAACTCGCCTTGCTTTGTATCAATCAAAGCACCAGAACCAAACCCTTCTGCAACCCAACCCACAACAATACCATCTGGACTAGCGTTGGGTTGCAAAGATTGGGCCGAAGTACCCCTATTTGGGCTTGGCTCACAAACAGAAGAACCCATCCCGGTATGTGCTAGGCCCCCCACTTGCAAAACCTTATTTTTGAGTCACAACCCACCGTTGTTGGCCCACAACTGATTTGCCAACCTGTTGGGCCTTTCCCATGCCCACCGGTCCCCCATTAAACACCCGTGGACCACCTTCCTCAAACCCTAAATGTGGATCCCATTTACCCCCATGGATCCACCCTCCTTCCTAAATCTTTGCAAATATTCAGTCACCCCCAATCCTCACAGAAATATCGACTTTGATTGCACTAGATCTACCCCCGCCATGTTTGGACCAAATTTCCCATCCTTCACAGCCGGTAACGCCCTTAGCTCCACCACCAGATCGGCTTCTACCTAAACTGGCAAAGAAAACTACCACCTCACCTTCCCCAACGGAGAGCAACTCATGCCGGTGTAGTCTCCGAACATCTGACACGCAATCAGATCGAGCCCAAATCCACCGGGGATTCATCCGCCTATCACCAATAATGTGATACACCTCTTCCCTACAGAGATGAATAGGAAGACCCGACACCCGAATCCAGACACTCTTTTCAGGCTGCAAGATCTTCCCTGAAATACAGAGGACCAGTGGTGACCACCATTGCAGCACCAAATCCCGCCCATCCACTATCCACCACTGTCGCAACAACACCTCCGCCTCACTTCTAGTCGGTAGAACGAACAGAAATGCCTTGTCACCCATCGGTCTCACCTCCACCTTCCCCGATTTTTGCCACTAGCGGCCAACCCAGTCTGAGATAGCCGTGAAACTGAAGCCCTTGCCACCCAAAGCCCTTAACGTACCCACCGACCTATCCAATAGCCGAAACCACTCCATCTCCACCCCATTGCGAACAACCCCTTCCGACGCACTTTGAGTGGCTGGTAACAACATCCCCAAAATGGACGTTACCTTCCTCGAACCACCAGGTCGTGACACCCAGGCATCAGTCAGCCCAAAGCCTTCTAAAACCAACGCTACCCCTTCCCAACCATCACCGAAAGCAGACATAGGGATGAAAATCTGTTCTCGCCTCTAACCTACTATCACCACTATTTGAAACGATGATCCCCCACCATTCTCGCCACGTACCCAGACTGCAATGGAGTGAAGGCCACCACTAAGACGACCCAGGAATTTGAGATTCCCTGGTTCCGTCGATGCTATCTTCATTTTCACCACAATCCAATGTACTTCTGACCCACACAACACCACCGCCCGTCGGAGCCCCTTTCCCCTCTCAACAATGGACAACTTACATTTCCCATCCACTCCCGCCAAGGTCTCCTCAAACTTGAACGACCGGCCGCCAAGAAAGAGAATCCGCCGGTGAGGCCCAACTTCTTTCCTAATTGGTGACATTTCCTCTCCTAAACTTTCGGAGTATCACTCAACTATATTTTTCCAACAGCATCTTAATATAAGGATGAGACCAATTTCAAATTAAGTGTTCAAAGTTTCTTAATGCCACCCTTTCTATCTCTAAGGTTGTTTGATCTTCTCAGCTGCCTCCCCTGGAAGTCCACAACCAACCACCTCTAACACTCCTTACCTACTGTCATATTCTTAAAATGCTCCTGACACTCCCAAAGGTTTCAAGCGTCGGTTGGAACATGGTTCCTTGAATAAAAAATTAATAATACAAAGAACTTTCCAATTGGTCCTAAGTTCCCGTGAATCAGGTCTCTCTTGGGAACTGAGGTTTTGGTAACTATGCTTGAGATTTTTTATTCTTTCCATATATAATAATTACACTTCATTTCCTCTCAACTTTTGGCATGACATGGCGGGATCTTCGACTTGCCAAGTCACTCTGCTGCGGAGGTATTGATTTCAAATTCAAGAATATGTTCACATCATATCTATGTCTAGAATGGTTCTAACTTCTAAATGAGACTTGCTTTTACAGTAATCCTATAGTATTTTTCTGGCAATGGTTACAGTGTCCAACATTGCCACTACTAGTGCCGTAGAAAATGTCTCTTTTTGTTTTATTGCATCCAACATTTTCTGGATCTGCTTTCTTCTTTCTTTGCTATTGATTGGAGAACATATTCCTATTTCCCATCTGATTACCCATAATTTAACGTGTATTATAGGTATGGGCAGATGGAGCGTTCTATACTTTCTGCTGGGATTGCAGGACTGGATCTTAGGGGAGCTGTTGCTCGCGGGGTTGGGGCCCAGGGAGTTGAACTTAGTGAAACAGTACGAAGAATGGAGGAGTCCATTCCACAAGTCATTGTTCTTCTTGAAGCTTCTGTAGAAAGATGCATCAATTTTACTGGAGGTTCTGAGGCAGATGAGCTAATGCTTGCCCTCGATGACGTAATGTTACAATATATATCCACTCTGCAAGAAACCTTGAAATCATTGAGAGCTGTATGTGGAGTGGATGTTGATGGTGTTGGTTCAAAGAAGGAAATTGGATTGGACAAAAAGGAAGGAGCTCACAGTTCTCGTAAATCTGACTTGATATCAAATGAGGAGGAGTGGTCCATTGTCCAAGGTGCATTGCAGATCCTCACTGTGACAGACTGTTTAACAAGTCGATCCTCAGTCTTTGAAGCTACCTTGAGAGCTACTCTTGCTAGACTCAGCACAAGTCTGTCTATTGCAGTATTTGGTTCTAGTCTGGACCAAAACCCTTCCCATGTGGCTGGTGACGATGGAAGTGGGGAATTATCTTTGGCCGGAAGGGCTGCCTTGGATGTGGCATCTGTGAGGCTTCTTGACATTCCTGAAAAAGCTCGGAAGCTATTCAACCTTTTAGAGCAGGTACGTAAAATCAGTATTTGTTTATTTACTTTTCTATTTATGTGTCACTTTTTTGTGGGTTACGGATAGGCGGTGATCTTATGTAGCTTTGTTTTAGTTTCTTCCCCCATCCTTAAGAATGAATCTGACTATTTTTCTTGCATTCCAAACATAAAGTCGTGGCTGAATAAACTTGAATATACTAACCATAAAACAGAGTGAAGTAACCTTATGAGACTTTCTAACTGAAATAGGCAGCATGTGATTCGAAGAGAAAAGTTGAAGGTAAAAGAAAATAAAGTCAAGTGAATGCTTCAAATGTGAAATATGATCTATACCACGTCCCAAGCTCTCTCTCTCTCTCTCAATGTATACATGCATGTATGGATATTTATATTTCTGTATGCTGATCATATAAAAATTCTTGATAACCCACTAATCAAGTTAAAAATGGGCCATAATTGAGTTTTGAGACAAAAGACCAATTTTTGTAAATGTTGTGAATTTTCTTTAGTGGTGACCACTTTTCCAGATCTATTTTAGTGTCCTTTATTAAATTGTTCAGAAGTTTCAATTCATGCCGTTATAGTTTATTCATGCCCTTATAGCTTTCTGTAAATAGCTCTCATATAAAAATGCCATACATGTTTTCATGTGCATGTCCTTGTACAGTGAATTTCATAATAAGATAATGAACTGCAAGTATCTGTTCAATTTGGGCCCAAGTTGTAAGAACTATTTTTTTCCCCAAAAATGTCTGGATGCCTTGCCACAATGGAAGATTATATCAAGATATTGGCACAGTTTATGTGCTTCTGCTAGAACAGCCCAAGAAAATTTGAAATCCAAGTCTAATGGAGGTCAATTTTAAGCTTAGCATTTAAAAGGTAGTCTATACAGTTCCTTTCAGCCTACATGCGGAGTTTCCTGTAAATTTTTTACAATCTATTTCAGTTCATTACCTGACTTTTATAACACATGCATGATTATGCATGCATAATTTTGAGATCAACGATGAATTTATTTTCTTACCTTTGTATGCCTTATGTTCTACATTTTACTTTATATTCATAACAGTATTCCTACATTGTCTTGCAGTCAAAAGATCCCCGGTTCCATGCCCTTCCTCTTGCATCTCAACGTGTTGCAGCATTTGCAGACACAGTGAATGAACTTGTTTATGACGTTCTTATATCCAAAGTACGACAACGACTTAGTGATGTGTCTCATTTGCCGATCTGGTCCTCAATCGAGGAACCAAGCGCTTTCCATCTTCCGAGCTTTAGTGCATACCCCCAGTCCTATGTGACCAGTGTTGGCGAATATCTTCTTACTTTACCCCAACAATTGGAGCCACTTGCTGAGGGCATTTCTAATGGTGATGCCAACACTGATGACGCACAGTTCTTTGCAACTGAATGGATGTTCAAGGTAACCACCTCATTCTATATTGGATAGTATTGAATCTTGTTTTTGTACATACATGTGACTCACATATTATGTTTTGGGGGTAGGGAGGTGGAGTGGGAGAAAAGGATAGGGTTAGACCTTCGCTTTAACGACCTACTTCTAACTATTAGCTGTTATTCTATATACCATAGGAATATGTATTATTTTTTTCCATTCTATCTTCATTTGTGAAGAGCGTTCCTATTAATAGTGTGAGAGAGTTCTAGACGGTCCAAAATCATTTGGTTACTATTGTTTTTGTCATTGAGAACTGGCTGAACGGAACCCAAACTTAGATGGTTTTTGCACCAAAGAAGATGTGGTAAGTGCTGCCCAGGATACCAGGGGGACCTATGGTGAATACTTGAGGGGTGCTGCTAATAGTACCCCCAATTTGTTCTTAGGACCCCTCACTTCTTCATAATTTTTTTTATTACAAATCTACCCTCACAAAATTCCATTCATACCCTTATCCCTACCCATCCAAACCCTGAACCTAATACCTCCCCACCCCAGCCACCACTCATCACCACCATCTCAGACCACTAGCCACCCCTGCCCCCATCCACCTCCGGCCACCATCCCTAGGCCTCCCTGCCTTCCCCAACGCCTCTCTGCCCTCCTTTGTCACCGTCCAGGCCCTTGGCCCCTTATCTTCTCGTGAGAGAGAGAGAGATCACATTTTAGGTTGATGGAGGTGTCAGAGGGTGGGGAGGGGCTGGGGGTAGTGGTGGGTGATGACTAGGGATTGTGAGTGGGATTATTTTTGGTAGTAAGTGGAGTGTTCAAAGAACTTTTGCAAAATGTGAAATTTTGGTGGTAGGAGTTCAAAGGTCCAAAGAATTTATGTGGGGGCTATTAGCAATTCCCATGCTCAAGGACATGCTTTTCTTTATTAATTAACAATCAGAAATTATATTTGTCAGGGTGCAAGATAACTAGTTATTTCTTTTGATCTTCTTGTTTTAAAGGTTGCTGAGGGTGCAACGGCTCTCTACATGGAGCAGCTGCGGGGGATTCATTTTATAAATGACCGTGGTGCACAACAACTTTCTGTTGATATTGAGTACTTAAGCAACGTGCTTTCTGCACTTTCAATGCCGATCCCTCAAATCCTCACCACATTCCATACATGCCTTTCAACCCCAAGAGACCAATTGAAAGATCTTGTCAAGTCAGACTCAGGAAATCAACTCGATCTTCCAACAGCAAACCTTGTGTGTAAGATGCGCCGCGTGAGTATAGAACAGTAATTTTTTTACCGAAGATCTTTTACTAAAATTGAGTCTTTGCCCAATAGATGCTACCAAAATCTAGAGCAAGCATAAGATTTTCATTGCCTGTTAATTGATTGTAGAGTTCTATACAAGTTGTTGGAAAACAATCAACGTGTTTGGTTTCAGTTTTCTAAATTTAGTTTTCTGAAAACTGGAGTTTTTTGTTTTTCGTATTTTTTTGTTTTTAGTGAATATTTTTAAATTTTAAGTAATTTTTTTACATTTTTAGATGCACTTTACTTAGATGTATCTAAATAGTAAAATTTTTGCGAAAAAATATTTTGAAAAATTAACAAATACGAAAAATGTACTAAATTTTCAATTTTTTTGGTGTATTTTTTGATATTTAGTGTATTTTTTAAAGATTTTTTTCACAAATACTATACTTTTTAAGTGTATTTATGTTAGGCGTGACTAAAATTTTTTTAAAAAAAAATTGCTTAAAATATTTTTAAAAAATCATTAAAAATGTTAAAATACAAAAAATGAAAAAGTAGAATCTTTTGAAAATTGTTTTCTAAAAACTATAACCAAACAAGCAGAATTCAATTATGTTTTTGACAACAATTTTCTTGTAATCATCTTCCCCTATAACTGTCTAGTGTTGTTAACATTATTGAAGGCTATATCTGAATATGAAGCAGTTAGAAACAATTGTTTTAGCCATTTAGGTTATGCAATTTATGGCATTTCCCCATTTCATTGTTGGATGTTGGTTCTATTTATTTTATCTCAACACATGTAGGCAGCTTTCTCTTTCTTATGGACTTTTTAGGAGCTGTTTGGTAACATTTATAATTTATTTTTTACTTACTAAAAATATTAAAGTAAGTTGTAGGTTTATTTTTTGCAAAAATGATAAGAACAAAATAATAAATAAAAATGTTTTAAGAAATATATTTTGAAAGTGAGGGAATGGACAGGTGATTATTGGTGGTTGTCGGTGCGGGAGTTGTAGAAGGTGGTCTGTGGGGGTTGCCTGCTTTGAACGTCGGTGATAAACGCCACGCCGGGGGGAATTGTTCACACTTTTTTGAAAATAGACATCAAACAGGACTTTTCTTTCAATTTAATTTTTTTTTTTTATTAACATAAATAAAAATCTGCAAATATAAGCATATTTCTATCTATTTTGTGGCTTTTGAGAGGAGCAAATTGCAGGCTTTGAAGGTACCATTGAAAAATTACAAACGGAGTCTCAAGCATTACATCTTTACAATTTTCAACTACAAAAAAAAAATAAATAAATAAAAATCTTCCTGTCATTACAGAACAAGTTACATCTATTACTTTTTCAGTCCGTTTTTTTACCATGATTAATGATTTTGTTGTACTTTTTATCGCATCCAAGACATGACAACAAAATATATAAAAACCAACAATTCGAGTTAAAATTAACATTGTAATAAAATGACATTAAAACCACACACCCTAAAATAACATAATTTTGTTTCAACTTTAAACAAAGGCCATTGTATTACCCATGAGTGATCCATTGAGAAGAATCATTGATCTTTTAACTTTTTTAAGTTACTATCAAACAAACGTGACAATGTCTTATTGCTCTACATTCTAGACAATCACAAGTATCCAAGTAAATGGTTATACAAAATGGTAACAAAAAATCCAATCACATTAAACAATTTTCAATGAACAAAAGGTGACTAAAGTGGCCACAACCATAAATAATAATAATAATTTCTGAGACAACTCACAGCATCTTGTACAACAAAGGCCATACAAATGAAGGTTTAACAAGGTTCACTGACTAATTGACTTGACTCAACTAGTTTCATTCAATTCTACAACTTCTGAGGTTCTTTTAGATTTAAAACAAACAGAGAGGTAACAAAACTTGAAATCTTGGGTCAAGGTACACCAAGAACATAATAATAATTTATAAATGACTGGTAGCTCTACAAATATTACAAAGCTTGTCCCCCAACTTCAGTCCAAAAATTGTCCTTTTTTTAGTACTTCTCATTGTAACTAGTTTAGTGAGTGGTGCACTCTAAAATTCATGCCCTGCACAAACCACTCCTAGAAATAATAGAAAAAAAGATTTCCTTACCCATCTGCAAGTTAATTCCCTGGGGGCATCTTCACCAGAATATCCTGCACACTAAAGACATAGGAAAATGCTATTGGGAAATATTTATTATTCAGTTACCTCAGGGTACCCCAGACAATTGCATTTCTAAATGTTTTCCAAGAGGTGAGGAGTCGAAACCCAGTCCACTGAAGCAGATTTTCAGGCTGACGAAAGTAACATTCCTAAATTTTTTTCTTGTTTTGTAAGTGTTGCTAAGAGTGGGAAAGAAGCCACAATCATGCTAGATAGGCAGATAGTTAGAGATCTATTCTATTATATAAAGTGAACACTCCACTTGGTGTGAACGTTTGTTGTCGTGCTATTTTTTTATTTCAAAAAGAAAAGAAAGATCTGCTATAAAAGGACTCCTGGTGTATTATTCTTCAACCAAAAAAGGGTAAATTATGTAATATCAACCTAACAGTTATCGTTTAATTGCGACGCATCAGCGTGTGCCGACATGCTAGTACTAAATAAAGAGGAGAGCTTGCTGAGTTCTCATTTCAAAAGAAGAAATAGCGAACCCCCCAAAGTTCTCTATAACTAGAACAATTTTCCTATACGGATATGATTGATACTGCAGGAAATTCCTAATTCCATACTTTCCTAATCAAGTTCACTGCCCTTGTGCATAATGCATGCAGAGTTCCATATATTCTACTACTGTAGATTTGAAAGGTCAGTGTAGCAGGAACCAAGGGGGAGGGGAGGTGCTTTCATATCATTTGTAAATTATCACAAAGCACACAAAGCATCCTCCACGAAAACCATATTCATTAGGCTTGCAAAGATACAAAAAAATTCAGCAACAAGAAGCAAGAATTTGCTTCGACCCAACTGAAGGATCAGTAGAAAAGAAACCCAAAACCGTGATAATCAAGCAAATAAATCCTTAAGATTTCAGTTACCTCCAAGTTGCAAAAAAATCATGATCTCCTGTCAGCTGAATGGTCAGTAGAAAACGAAACCCAAATCCATGATAATCAGGGAAATAAATTCATGGGTCCATGACCAGGTTAAGAATTTTCAGTTACCTTAAGATTGCAAAAAACTCATGATCTCCTGTCAACTGAACGATCAGTAGAAAAGGAAACCGAAATACAAGATAATCAGGGAAATAAATCTGCGGGTGCAACCATGACCAAGTTAAGATTTTTCAGTTACCTTAAAGTTGGAAAAAAAATCATTATCTCCTTCAGCAGCAGTATTACTCATGCACATCTATTGAATCTGCAGTCCTAACTAGATACGGGCAAGTACCACAATGATCCCAACAAAGAAGGTACAAAAAAAAGCTTTGAAAATAACATTACAGAGGTGATCCATATCAAAAGCCTTGAATAGAACATAAAAGCAGTCAACAATGATGAAGTTATACCTACCTCAACCTTTCTCCTCTAATTATATTGATGATAGGGAGATGGTAAAATTCTGAATAAAGCTGTGAGAACAAAAAGAAGTTTCACCCACAAGGACAATTTTAACTTGCGACCCTTGAAACGCACATTGATAAAACTTCACAAGGTGAAAAGAAACATCTACCTCTTTTGACTTTAAAGTTCAGATATCTATCTATGTAATCCACTAATATGGGCGAACTGGACTTCTGGACACCCTCCTATGACCATGCCTAACAGGGGAACGTGATCTGCTCCTATCACGCTCCATATATGAATTCCGATCACGGTATCTGTCTCTGCCTCCATCTCTTCCATTCCTGTAATTGTTTTGCTTCCAGTTCAACCCTCTTCCCCCATCCCAGCTACCTCTACCATTCCTCTCGCGAGACCTTTCCCAGTCACGGTCTCGTTCCTGGTACCTGTCCCGTTCCCTGTCTTGATCCCGATCACAATGCCTGTCCCTGTCAGTTGACTCACTTCTTCTACCACCTCTACTCTCATATTCCTTCTCCCTTCGCTTCCTACGTTCCTCTGCTTCTCTTGCTAGTCTTTCCTCTTCCCAGGCTTTCTCCTTTGCAGCCTGTTAGTTAGAAGTCAAATTTTCAAGTCATGTGAAAGATAAACAAACACCAGCATATGGGAACTATTGGGAGGTGAAAGGCACCTTGTGCTCTGCAATGAAATCCCTAACCATGCCATAACCAATATGCTGCTTGCCGGTGACATGAGATTGAGTCCTCTCTGCAGCATCATTGGCAACTAGAAAAGATCCACATATCTCACAAAGAGCCATCTTTTTCTCCTGTGCAATCATTAAGACTTTGTCGGTCGGGGATTGCTGAGTGAAAGCCGTCTTCTCAGCATTAAGTGTCTCCACCTGCAACAAAAAGTTAACAAACACTTGAGTTTCCATAAATCTAATAGTTGACACAGTTCATGGAAAAATTAGCTATGGGTATAATTAGGAATTCAGAATCAGGTTACATATGCTTAGTAGCACCTTTCTCATGAGTGCTTCAGCTTCATCAACCTTTCCAGCTTCACCGAGGGTTTCCACTTGATCCAGCAGGTTCTTTATTTTTTCCTCAAGCACTGACAACTGCTCAGATTTCTCTCCTGAGATTGGAGGTGGAGGACCTTCCACTTCTTGATCAATGCGTTCTCTCCCTCGCCTGACTCTTCTATCTAAGTCCATCACCTAAGATGGAATAATAATGATGATTAAATAAAGATGGTCATGACAAGAAAGCTAACAAATTAATGACATATGGAACTTACCAACTTCTCACAAAAATGAGCAAGTTCCGCTTCAAATCTTGGCACGTATGAATCATGTCTTGGGGACTTCTCAAAGCTAAAACCACCAATGTACCCTCATTAAAACTTTAATACAAAAAGAACCACAAAAATATGATACACACTGATGGAAATTGCAGGTATAATTTCTATGACAAAAATCACAACATAATATCAGTTGGGGAAAAAAAATGTAAAAGAAAAAAAAATGTGAAAATTTAAACATTGCGATATATATTTAAAGATGATTTGATTATAGTTGAATACAAAAGGGATTTGAAAATATTACCCTTTCAAGATGAAACCACTACTATGAAAACCATACCTTCGTCCCAAATTCTTGGTGAACTTCTTTGAATCTATCCATTCTAGAATGATGGTTGGCCACTTTGAAAAGTCAAGAATATAATATCTTGCATTTTTTTAATGAGCACGGATGCATTTATTGGATAGAGCTGTAGTTCTAAAAATTTGCACATTTTTACTTGAACGTGAATGCATTTGCTTGATTCTTTAAGGAGTTGGGTTTCCAAAGATCGACAGAGAATTTGCTAGATGGGGTAAAATTCATTACAAAATCCATACACGGGTTGCCATAGTTTAACGCCATATTTGAGCCACCAAATGTCTTTGGAGTTCTTCACTTGTTCTAATACAACACGGCAATCTAAGAAACATGGATATAGACACGTGACACAACAGGCGGAGGACAAGTGCAAAACATATAATTTTATACATTTATTGCATGTCCCTTTTTTTTAAAATATTATATACTTATTATATGCCAAATATTTATTCTCATCAAATTCAATAACCTTAGATATACTATTTCGGTAAATAAATTAAAAATTTTAAAAAATGGCCCAACGTGTCTAACACGTGTTGGATACCGGCACATGACCTCTAGAGTGGTGCCCTTGCTTCATTGACAATAATTTTTTTTAGAAAAAAAATCCTCATAAATGCATATTCAAGTGACCTTCATATTTAAAATTAAATGGAAACTTGCATTTGTACTTGGAAAATGACCTTATAAACTGATAAAACATGGAATCACGAGTAAAATTCCTTACAAAATCCATACACAGGTTGCCATAGTTTAACGCCGTATTTGAGCCACCAAATGTCTTTGGAGTTCTTCACTTGTTCTAATACAACACGGCAATCTAAGAAACATGGATATAGACACGTGACATAACAGGCGGAGGACAAGTGCAAAACATATAATTTTATACATTTATTGCATGTCCCTTTTTTTTAAATATTATATACTTTATTATATGCCAAATATTTATTCTCATCAAATTCAATAACCTTAGATATACTATTCCGGCAAATAAATTAAAAATTAAAAAAAATGGCCCAATTTGTCTGACACGTGTTGGATACCGGCACATGACCTCTAGAGTGGTGCCCTTGCTTCATTGACAATAATTTTTTTTAGAAAAAAAACCCTCATAAATGCATATTCAAGTGACCTTCATATTTAAAATTAATTGGAAAATTGCATTTGTACTTGGAAAATGACCTTATAAACTGATAAAACATGGAATCACAGGTTCAATGCATGTTACAAAGCTCATTCAAAAAGATTAATCATCTCATGTCCGTAAAAGAGACCTTTACTTTTGTAGACAAGTTTTGTAATGGCACGACTGCACAAATTGTGCGGTGAACGAGGATGGGGTGCAAAATCACGAGAGGTGGATCATCAAGTCTAGACAACTGAAAAGTTTTAAATTCAAACCCGAGGTAACAACTTTAATATTATATACTTATTATATGCCAAATATTTATTCTCATCAAATTCAATAACCTTAGATATACTATTTCGGTAAATAAATTAAAAATTAAAAAAAATGGCCCAATCTGTCTGACACGTGTTGGATACCGGCACATGAACTCTAGAGTGGTGCCCTTGCTTCATTGACAATAATTTTTTTTAGAAAAAAAATCCTCATAAATGCATATTCAAGTGACCTTCATATTTAAAATTAATTGAAAAATTGCATTTGTACTTGGAAAATGACCTTATAAACTGATAAAACATGGAATCACGGGTAAAATTCATTACAAAATCCATACACGGGTTGCCATAGTTTAATGTTGTATTTGAGCCACCAAATGTCTTTGGAGTTCTTCATTTGTTCTAATACAACACGGCAATCTAAGAAACATGGATATAGACACGTGACACAACAGGCGAAGGACAAGTGCAAAACATATAATTTTATACATTTATTGCATGTCCCTTTTTTTTTAATATTATATACTTACTATATGCCAAATATTTATTCTCATCAAATTCAATAACCTTAGATATACTATTTCGGTAAATAAATTAAAAATTAAAAAAAATGGCCCAACCTGTCTGACACGTGTTGGATACCGGCACATGACCTCTAGAGTGGTGCCCTTACTTCATTGACAATAATTTTTTTTAGAAAAAAAATCCTCATAAATGCATATTCAAGTGACCTTCATATTTAAAATTAATTGGAAAATTGCATTTGTACTTGGAAAATGACCTAATAAACTGATAAAACATGGAATCATAGGTTCAATGCATGTTACAAAGCTCATTCAAAAAGATCAATCATCTCATGTCCGTAAAAGAGACCTTTACTTTTGTAGACAAGTTTTGTAATGGCACGACTGCACAAATTGTGCGGTGAACGAGGATGGGGTGCAAAATCACGAGAGGTGGATCATCAAGTCTAGACAACTGAAAAGTTTTAAATTCAAACCCGAGGTAACAACTCATCAAAACAAATCATTGATTTGAGCTTCCTCTTAGCACAATTATCTAAAATCTTTAGATCAGAATAATCACAAAGCCCAAACTCCATATGTCTAATTAGCACACAACATGAGCAACTCATGCTTAACCACAGTTGTCAAATCGTGAATTGTTGTACTGAATCGTGAATTGTAAAGATTCGGCCACTTTTCTAAATCACTTAGAAAAATATATCTACATACACACTTGGATGTTAAATATATCTTATAAATATAAAATATGTAGACTTAAATCAATGAAAATGTTATTTTGAATGATGATCGTGTGGTCTAATAAGTAAGAAGTTAACACAGGTCCTCATGAAATAACACCATCTTACCTTTTCCTTTTTTTAGATATTACTTATCAACCATTCTTAATAAAGAAAGTAAACAAAGACAAATTCTCAATTTTCAAGTAACAATAACTTAACAACGTTATTGACATTTCATAAGCATACATACCTTTACAAGTAATGATAACCCATTACTTTTAACCTTAAACATCTTTAGAATATACATTATGATTTCTTTTAAGGAAAAAAAAAATGAGAAGAAATTGTTAAAAACATGTTGTGTCTGATTAAATCTTATTAAAACTCTCTGATCTCCAAAATAATAACAAATTATGTATATGTATTGGTTATTTTCGCACTAAACACTATTAGAAGTTGTATAATGTCATTTTAACTAAAAAAATGGAGAAAAAAAAATAATCAAAATATGTCAGACATAATAGTTTCAAGAATTGCATGAATTGTAAAAAGTAAATCGAATATTAAATCGATTTTGAATCATGTGATTCATTAGAGATTCACGTCCAAAATAGATTCACCCATATATTCGTATCAATTTTGCAACAATTGCGAATGGAATCATGAATAGTAAGACTCTACTAATAGAGTGCTTAACCCATTCTACAACACACATAATAAAGCAGGAAACTTGCTAATAAATAAATAAACTCTTAATATAAAAAAATCACTTATTTCAACAAAGCTTGTTAAGGGCCATACATAAGATGCCGTACAATTTTTTTCTATTTCTTTTGTGGCTGATTGCACATAATGAGAATTCACAAAAGTTCAAAAGACAGGAAAAAAAAAGAATCCAGACAATGTTATACAATTACCTTTCCTTCAACTTTAGATCATGGATTTTAGGGCATGGTCCTGATGCAACAAAAGACAATACAAGCCTAATTAGTAAAATTACTCTGCAAGCATTGAGCCAAGTGTCCCATTCAGTTACTGACAAAACATCAGAACAATAAAAAGATCAAAATCCAAAACTAAAGCTCAAGCTAAAGTTATCTTAATGCAACAAACAGGCTTAATAAACTAGATTGTATTTAATTATAGTAACTTGAATAACTTAAAATTATATACATCAAAACTTCTATGGCCTTCTGTTTCCATACATTTTCTCAGCAACTAAAAATTGGGATTCAGTAAATAATAAACATAGACTGCGACATACCAAGATCACTCCTCGTATTGACAAAGAGATCATGAGGGCAAAACCGAACCATATACATTCCACAAACCTCCTTATCATCCCAGGTGATTTCTTTATACCCCTTTCTTTCCTCTTCAGTGAGATTGCGAGCTACATACACAAATTAAAATTTTTAAAAAATAAATAAAAACTTGCATAAAGAAACAACACATACATATTCATATATTACAGACACACACACACACACACACACACACACACACATATATATATACAAACTTCAACAACAAATCAAATCCAATCCAAATCAGAGGAAAATGGCCTAATTCAAAGGAAATAAAGATTAGCGTTTTTTCATATGAATATCAAATTAAACCTTGCATAAAGAAACAACACATACATATTATCTACATATACATATATTACAGACACACACACACACACACACACACACACACACACACACACACACACACATATATATATACAAACTTCAACAACAAATCAAATCCAATCCAAATCAGAGGAAAATGGCCTAATTCAAAGGAAATAAAGATTAGCGTTTTTTCATATGAATATCAAATTAAACCCAATCGATCAACAAAATAAAAAGACAAGCAGAGTTAGGGTTTTCCTGACAAATTACGAGTTAAAGTACACCAAATCCAAGAAAATAACAAAATGTTTATAAATAAACATAAATAAATAAAAAATCAACATTAGGGCATTTGAATTGCAAGTGAAAGATAGCCTAATTAGGAGGTTGGAGTTTTGTGAAAGAGTACCTGAACCCATGAGTTCATCGAGCAAAGCTCTCTGGGCGTCCATGGCCGGTTGTGGAAGGTGTTAATTGAGATTTGAAGCGAGAGAGTAGCAGATTTGTTATCAGAAACCCTACTTTCTTCTTGTGATTGGAAGCAAAAGTTTTTTGCAATTTGGGGTTTTATATATAATTAGGCTATGTTTGGTTGGCATCGTAGAAGAGGGTTTGCATTAATCTTTTTTTTTCTTTTTCTTTTTTGTTTTTTTTCTTAGAAGTGTCATTACGATATCCGCGGGCCCAGGCCCAAGGAAATTATTTGTCAGCCTGAGTTAACCCAACTCATAAAAAAGACGAGGTGTCAATAAATCTCATCAACTGCCCCTAATAGGACCAAGGTTCTATCGGAATACTAATCATGTTTGGTTGTGTTAAATTATTGTAGGACTATTAATTTAATTGGACTATCAGTCCCCGGGGGTTTAGAATACCCCTTGATAGTTGAAATTGCTAATCCAACCCCTTTATATTGAAAATAAAAGACCATATTTAATATTATTATGTTTTAAATAATTTATTGATGGAAGAAATATTAAATTTTTTTAATAAATATTAAAAGAATATGATTTTTTTACATTTAGACCTCATTTGGCAAGTGGTAATTTTAACTAAAAAAATTAAAAAGTCACTAAAAAAATAAAAAATAAAAAAACAACTTATATCAAAAAGTCAAATATTCTATTTTCTCTTTACTTTTTGCACATCTTTTCGTAAAAAATCAAAAAATCATCCCAAACATTTAGTTCTTTTACATCATATTTTAGCCAAAAAGTTACTAAAAAAACATGTTCCCAAACGAGGCCTTAGTGAATGTTTAAGTATTTTTAAGAAAAATTTATATTTTTTAGAACAAAAAAGAATAATTATAATATTAAAAAATACTGAAAATTAAAAAATATTAATTTTACATATTAATATTATCTATAGCATTACTAATCCCATGGTATACAAACAAACACTCTTTAGGCTATTTTGGAAATATGGTTAAAAGTCATTTTCCAGCTTTTAACTCATTTTGAATCACACCATCTCTCACATTTTTTACACATTTTTTCAAAAAAAACTAAAAAAATAAAAAAATTAGCTTTTAATCATCTTCACAAAACAACCATTTTATCTTATTTTTCCAATATAATACCACCACACTAATAATCTCCCCACTTAATCTCACTACACTCTTAATACTATTCATCTTATGGAGCCAAATAAACATGGCCGTAGGGTGTGAGCCCACCTAACGTTTGTGCTTAAAATATAAAGGAAAAAGATTGGCAGCTTGAGAAATGTGGCTCAAATAGACAAAACGATGTCGTTTTGTCTACTTTTTCTTTTTTTTTCTTTTTCTTTTTCTTGCTTTTTGAATCAGAAGGCAGAAAAAGAGAGAGAGAGATAGGAGAAAAGAGAAAGAGAGAAAGAAGAGGAAGAGAGGAGAAGAAAAGAAGAGGAAGAGCCATCATCGGTGAGTCATCACCAGTGCCATCACCGCCATCAGAGGCGCTCGCCATCACTAGCGACTGCCATCACCGATCTGAAGATGATGATGTTGATATGAAGAAGATGATGATGCTGATTTGGAGATGATGAGTATATTTTATTTTTTTTTAGTTATAGATCTGAATCTATTTTTTGTATATTTATTTATTTTTTACTTGTTCTGGATCTGAAAAAAAAAAAAAAAATTGTTGATGTTGTATATCTGAATCTGTTTTCTGTAAATTTTAATATCTGAATCTATTTTAATATCTGTTTTGATGATTTTGGGTTTGAAAAACTTGTTCTTCTTTCTTGGAAATAAGCTTCAGTGGGTTTGAAAAACTTGTAACAGCACTGTGCAATATGGGAAATAAGATTTTATCATAAAATTAGCAAATGCCTAATCTTCATCATATTTACAAGTTTTTCAGTGGGTTTTATGAAGAAAAAGTTGTTTTTGATTTGGGTTTTTCTGAACAAATTTTTGTGTTGACGATGGAACGAATTTTTTCAGAAAAAATTCGTCAACAAATTTTTTCGTGAACAAATTTTTTCTGAACAAATTTTTGTGATGATGTTTAATCTGGGTTTCTCTGGAACATCATCAAGAACAAATTGCTTGAACACCATCATCTGGGTTGCTCCTTCTTTTCTTCTTCTTCAGCTTTCTTCTTCTTCTTCAGTTCAGAAAAACGCGGGGAAAAAAAAAAAAAAAAGAAACCAAAATGAGCCAAATTCAGGCCACCGAATTTCAAGCTACGTAGCAGGGTCGATAAATTTTAATTTTGAATTGAAATAATGTCTTATATTATTTAAGTGGTAAAAGTATTCTTTATTAAGTCAATCAATAGTCATAGGTTTAAATTTTATGACCCTCTTGTAATTATTATTTTTTTCCTTTTGGATTTAAAAATTAACGCTTGGAGTAAATAGAGAATGTCTATTGGCAAAAGGAGATAAAGAAGTTAACGGACATCAAGTGAGTTATTCACTTTTAATAATAGTAATATAGATGGATTCAATTACCTGATTCTTATGATTAGGCCTGTGTAAAATATCGTTCAATCCGTTTAAATCGTACAGATCTGCATCAATTCTTATCGTTCTATTTGCTAACTGTGGATCGAATTTTAAAATTTATAGTCTGCCTTCGAAATCGTTCTGCTTCATTATAGTTAATACATATATATTTTTTAACTTCTAATAAAAATCAAAATAAAAATAAGTGTGAGAGATATTAAAGCTTCGTTTGTTATTGGCTTTTTGGATTAAATTAGTCATAAAAAAACAAAATAGGCTAAAAGTCAATAAGACAAAATGTAATATCCAAACTATAATCATTTTATTTTTCTTTCATAAAAGTCAAAAAAGCTGTCGCGATCCAAACCCGTCCCTATAAGTTTAGTATCGTAATCGACTAGTAATCTAGGGATTACCGAAGGCCTCTGAAACAGATTAACAAAATAGGGGACTAGCGGAAGCAAATACAAAAATGTCCATAGAGATATGTAAACTTAAATGGGACAGAAAATTTCAAACTTTATTTATATATAATATGGCGCCAGCCTTACATACAAAAGATACACAAAATTATCTAAACAAAACAAAACAAAACTTAACACTTATTCATTAACGTGGTCATAACATTGTCCACAAAAACTCGACTACAAAAGACTTTTGGAACCTCCTCGAGAGGCGCATTGGTTGGCTGACACAAATGGATCCAGACTGGAAGTCTTATGTCTGGTCACGCGCCTGATCACTTACATACACATATAAAATAATGAGTTGGAGCCTAGTGAATAATAACAAAGTAAAGGTTTTAATGAATGATGTCCATATCAGATTCAAAAATCAGAGTTTAGATCAGAAACAGGTTCTTATACATTTTTAGATTTGTAAACAGTCATAGTAGTACATCCATTAGCTAACATATTAGATTGGTCATGAAGACCCACGTGCAGAGTATGAGCCTATATAGACCAATATTCACATGAGATGCTCATTAAGACCCATGTGCAAAGTAAGCGGCCATATAGACCTATATTAACATGAGATGGTCATTAAGGTCCACGTGCAGATCAGATAGTTGATTTTGCATATTCAGTTCCATGAATGGAATCTACGTGAAACCCTGGTACTAGGTATCAGATAACAGATACATATGATGCTAAGAATGCCACGATACATTTTAGAAATAGGATAATCATTCATCTATACAAAAAATATCATTTTAAAAACCAGAGCTTATTATATCAGGCAAAAAATACTTATAATTGAACATATCCTTACAAGGTTGTTACTTCCAGAGAGCTCCAGAAGTGAATCAGACGAATCAGACAGATCGAATTGACTATAGTGCGTGACCTACACAAATACATGACAGATTTACATTGAAACACACAATCGATAATCACTTAACTTATCACTTTTCTTTCTTGGTGTGTTTCTAATTCATTTCCTCGTTATTGTAGCCTAAATCATGTCTTAAGAATACTTTAAATGAAATGAGGATGTAAAAATGTACTTTGGAAACACTTGTAAAATTTTGAAAAACAGGGCAGTTCGCTCAAGCGAAGATTTGGTCGCTCAAGCGGTCTATAAAAGTATTGGATACTTTCATTTTACGCTTAAGCCAACATCTTGGTCGCTCACGCCAAGGTTCAAAACAAAAGGTGGTCGCTTGAGCGAAGATTTGGTCATTCGAGCCAATTACCTTGACTGCAAAACTTCTGAGAGCTCGCAAAGTATGCTTGAGCGAATGAACCATTGCTCGAGCGATCAATCTGAATTCTGGAATTTTTAGAATTCTGTTTTATATTCAAAACACAAATTCAAAGTATCAACACTCATCTATTTGGGCCAAAACTTAAGAAAATTCTTAGAAACTCATATAACATCATGAACTGAAGATCATTTCGCAAAATCAAGACTCAAAAGCTTGTCAATTCTTCAAAACCAAATTGAAACTTCATGTATAATGTACATACATGCAATGATGTGGCTTATTTGTTTTAAAACATGGATTCATGGAGTGAGAAGTGTAAAAACATGTTGAATTCTTGAACTTGAGCATAAAGAACACCATGCATGTGTGAATTCTTGGAAAAACAGCCTCAAAACAATGAAATATGCATGCATGTATGATTTAACTTAAATTCCATCATTCCTAGCTCAATTCTTAGACTTATTCACAAGATCTTCTTGAATTCATGCTCTTGATGACTCATATACTTGGTTTATGGGTTGAATTCTTACCTCAACTTGACTTTAAATCGTCTATTCCTTGAGCTTCCAAGCCAATTCTTCTAAATGCCTTCTATTGTTCTACAATCTCCTTTTCAAGCTTGCATTCACTCTCTATATTTCTCCTCTCTCTCACTCTCTTTCATATTGAACTCAAGGAAAATGAGGTGTAGAAAATGTGTTTGATGAGTAATAAGTGGCCTTATATAGGCTTCATTAGCATGAAGCTAATTAAGTGATTAGAGTTAATCTAATTCAACTTAATTATTAATTTATTTCAATTATTTGAGTCCGAATCGAATTCTAATTAAACTTACCATAAAATTCTAAAAATTCTACATAACACAAAGATTGAGTCAGTTCTATATTTAGAGGCCAATAAGGCCTTCAATTAACAGAACAAAGCAAAATTCTAAACAAATGTTCCTACGGCTAACAGATAGGAATACAAAACACATGTAAAATGCACAATTAACACATAATCTCACTCTTAAACTTCCTTAGCAATCTTAATTATGGATTACAAGCCAATTACGGAGTGGGCCGTTACAAAAGCCAACCTAAACGAACTCATTAGTTGAAGCTAAAATAGTCAAAAACTCAACTAAAAAAGCCACATGCCAAACGGCAGCTTAAGATGTGAAATTTGTTACACATTAGTAGTTATATATATGAAAAATATTATATAAATTAGTTTGTATTATATATATGAAAAATATTTATGCAAATTAGTATTATATATTATGTAAATGCTTGATAATTGGTTAAAATATTTTGCAATTCGCCAATCCATCCAAAATCATTCAAATCATGATATATTAATTCGCTAATCCAGCAATCTGTCATTTAATTTATAATTTTATTTTCAAATCGTCCAAGCCGCACCGCATACCCTTATGATTGGCACAGAGAGGAAGGATTGGAGAGAAGAAAATAAGGTTGGAAATAAGCCATTCATCAGGGGTTGTTTGAGTGGTTGGATATGTTTCTTCTGGGCGTGGATTAAAATTCTCCCTTGTTAGTAAAAGAAATATGTGATTAGTTTTTGAGTTTAGTTTTAATTTTTTTTTATTTTTCATTTTTCATGTTTTGTTGTCTTGTAATATATTTTCGTATTTTAGTTAATTTTTTTTATTTAGATTACGTGGCTTCAAAAATTTTAAAAAAACTTTAAAACTAAAAATATATGAATTGTAAATTTCAAAATCAAACATATTAATTTTTTAAATATTTTTTTAGAGTTTTTTTAATTTTTACAATTTGTCTAGAAGAATTTTAAAAGTAAAAAAAAAAAAAAAATCAAAAAAAGTTAACTAAAACCTTTTAAAAAATAAAAAATGGCAATTGATTTTGTTTTTCTTTTTAAAAAACTCCCTAAAAACGGGAAAAAAAAAGAGTCAATAAAAAAAGTCAGTAAAAAAAAGCTAATCCTAAACACATTCTAAGGTTTGTTTGATTTGTAAAATTTTAATTTAAAAAGTTAAAAAAATCACATCATGTATATCAATTAATTATTATTTTTTTTTCCTTCACAAACAAAAAAATAATTCTAAACAAATTAGCTTATTTTCATTTCATATGGAAGCTAAAAAAAACTAAAAAAAATTGTCAAAAGGGCTTTAAATCTAGAGTTTAGATTTGTTAAAGATCTCAATTTTATAGGTAAAGTTGATATATTGTGAAACTGCTATGTCATAATATTAATGATTTAAATTGTTCATCTCATATGATAAGTTGAGTAAAATATACATATAAAAAATAAATTACTCACACGTAAATAATTATATGATCAAATCACATATATATTATAACAAATTGATAATCTATTCTTAAAAATATACCAATCGTATAAATATAAATGATCTAATAATATGACAATCAACGTTAAAACTACTTGATTTTTTATATAAATATTTTTTTCAATTTATTATATAATATCAACAATTTAAATTATTAAAATAAGTCAAAACAACTCAAATGGGTCAATTCTACGGTACCAAATCTGGAATTTTAAATATGGGGGCTTCCTATTGGTTCCTTGTGGGTAGGATATGCCCGCCTCCGCAGCGGAAACGTACTACCAAAGGGCTGACCTTGGACTTTGATTGAAATATTTAGGACTGTTAGAATTGGATTAAAAACACCCTAAAATTCAGAGACCCTTTTCACTTAATTCGTCTGTTACTCTTCTGATAATGCTTTGGATTTACTAACACCCACGAAATTACAATCAATTGTCTATCTGATCCCCAGATTTGCTTCGATTCCAAGGTAAACAAAGCCTCTGATTTTTGAAATCCGATTCACAAGCACTCTCTTTTCTTGACTTTCTTGTTTTTTTGATTACTGTTTGTTTAGTGTTAGATCGGATGGCTGAAGGGGGAGTTCAATCTCGTTATGTGAAGCTGACCAAAGATCAAGGGCCTTTGGAAGATATTAAGCCTGGAGAACTCAATCAGCCCATTGATGTTCCTCAGGTCTATATCTCTATCTTTCTATGTATGGATTCATATGTATACATATATATATATATATGTAAATGCACTCACATTTATAAATTACAACCCTTGTATGAATGTTTAGTGAGAGAATTGTGATGTTTTTGTGGGATTTTGCTGTTATTCAACACTTCTCTGTATGTTGTTTTGGATTTGAATCTTCAATGGAGTTTGGGTTTTGTTTTTGTTGTCAAATTGAAGAAAAAAATAAGGAAAATGTTTGAGACCCACAATAACTGCCACAATTTGACCCAGAATTGTGGTACAATCGGTGTCAACTTGTTACACCCAGTAGTCTAAAATTGTGGATCTCTAGCATTTCTTCTTCTTCTTCTTCTTCTTCTTCTTCTTCTTCAAAAAAAAAAAATCAACTTGAACCTATTTTAGCAGTTCCCCGACAGACCCACCAACATGGGGATTATCAAGACGGGCTGAGCCATGTCAAATCAAATGTTGACCCAGGATTAATGGGCACGAGAATTGCCACCGTTTGTGAGATTCAAACCCATGACCTCTTGTCCATCAACCCACTTGGACTAAGGCTTGACCATTGGGCCATGAGTAATATGGTTATTGATTTGCAATTTGAACTATTATGCGGGGGGTGGTGGTGTTTAGTGTTGACTTTTTGAACACATGATGATGTTATCTTCAGTTGTGGCTAGAGTGTTTATGGGTGAAATAGAAATCAACCATTTTAAGAAGTGACTTGCCTGTTATTGTTTCTCTGTATGTTCATATTATGTGATGTTAAACCTAATACATATGGCTCTAGGGATTGCCTTTGCGGGACTTTGATATTCATTCAACTCTCTGTTATGAAGATTAGTTATATGCATAATACTTTTGAATTCTAATGTTGTTTTCATAACCTCTAATAAAAAACTGATGTCGCAGAAGCATAAGATTTCTAATAATTTATATGATCCTTGATTTTCTAAACTGTACCATCACTGGCAGGCAAACTTTATTCAATACCCAAGCCTCATGTATGTTTGTTGAAACTTGACAGAAAGAGGGGGTTAATATTTTTGTAATATTGTCAGTGTGATATTTACCTGTGAATATAATTGATTTGTGGTGCATAAGCTAAAGATTTCTTTACTACAGGTTGTTTTGGGAACTAGCTATTTTAGTAGGTTTTTTTACGATTTTACCAAAAAACGTGTAGAAAAGTAGAGAAAAGAGTTGACTTTATGTAGTAATTTTTTGATTTTTTAGCTATAATAGGTACTTCCCAAACTTGGCCTACGTTGTTTTCATTTTTGGTGTAATTTTTGTTTTTTTTTGGTTGGTGTGTGTGTGTGTGAATTCTCTTTTGCTTTTGTAGATTTTATAGTTGTTCAATTTTCATGTTGAGCTCCTTCGGTTCCTACTTTTTGTACAACTGTTCGTCACCCCCTTTGGCGGGTTTTCCAATATACTTGTCTTTACTTTTCTGAAAAAGCCGTAGAAAACTAGGCTTTGTCTCATTTGAATATCCTAGATGCTATGCCAAGGATAGTGTATGTATATATATATATATGAATCCTGAGTGTGTAGGTGATGTGAACCATCTGGTGATGTACGACCTTTCTGTCATCAACATGGGATTGATACTCAAAAAGAATAGGAATGGTTTACATGCTTAAGTCATTTTGGGAATGGTGGAAAGGCAGGCAAGCAAGAAATGAAGTAGTGAAGTTTGTACTTTGTGTGAAGATGTTCCCTATTTTGGTGCATGTGGAATTTTTTTAATAAAAAATTGATGTGGTGGAACATTAGGTCGGTGGTGTAGTGAACTTGTGGAATTCTTGGGCAAAAGCAGTTCAGGGGATTGTATCATAGACATTTCATGGAGTTAGCATTGGACAGTAATATGTCTTTTTGGTAATTTGGTAACTTTTTTTTGTTATATAAGTTATACATCGTATACACTTCTTACCTGTAATTAAGCATCTAGAAAAGGCTAATAGCTGAATTAGTATGTGGGTTCAAATGTGGTTGGTCTTTTTGAGATATCGTAGGTAGCTTGAGTATTTTAGCCTAAGAAGCACGGATACTTCTAAGAATGTGACGTATCTGTGTCGAATACTGACACTCTTTGGACACTTCCCCGACACGTGTCTGACATTCTTCAAAACGTATCCTATTTTTGAATATTTTTTAAAGACCAGGACACTCTTTGGACACTTAAATGACACATGTCTGTATCTCTTAAATACATGTGTCTATCGATTAGACACAAGTGAAATTAATTATAAGTTTGAACAAAATAACTTAAGGTACAATAATATAAAAAAAAAATCATATAAATTTATAGGAATTAGTAGCATATTGCATTTTTTATTATCTTTGAATGATATATTTATATATATAACATATAATAAATATAAAAAATTATACATTTTATGCGTGTCCCCCATATGTCGTGTCCTGCATTTTTTGAAAATTAGCATGTCGGCGTGTCCGTGTCGTATCCGTCTTGTATCGCGTTGCGTGTCCGTGTCCATACTTCTTAGATTTTAGCGATGCTACGTGAACTTTTGGTTGTGATTTTTCAGTGTATATGATTTCTGCTTGAACTTTTTGAGTGATTTTTCAAAACATTTTTTTGCATCTTCTCTTTTATAATTGTTGTCTTGGTGGATGTGTTAGACGATGTATTCAAATCAATTATCCTTCGGGCAAACTTCACTTTACCCCTCCTGTGGTTTGAGTCATATGCGGTTTTACCCCTTAATGTTTGGAAATGATCACATAACCCCCACATGATTTGTGAACTAAAATGCATCATTAAACATTCTGTCAAACTTAACAGCAAGTGTGAAACACGTGGCAAACATAAAGGGGTAAATCGCACATTGAATAAAACATAGGATGTTAAAGTATGTTTTGTCTTCCAAACAAATGACAAAAATACAGGAGTATTTTAGTATTTTTCATTAAACTAACGGACTTAACGGTGCATTTTAGTCAATAAACCACAAAGGGATTATGTGGTCATTTCCAAACGTTAAGGGAGTAAACCGTGTTGAATATAAAAATTATAGTACATAATTTTTTTTTATTTTTAGTATTATGTATATAATCTGTGATTGTGTCAATAACTGATTTAATATGGTTTCCTTATTTTTATCATTTCCTTATTTATATCGCTTCCTAAATTGTATCATGAATCTATTATATATGCATGGCTTCTATCTCATTCATGGGTAAGTCAAATAATTATTTTCATTCTTTTTGATATCAGAGTTAGGTTAAGTACTTAGGTCAAGTTTGACATCCTCCAAAAAATTTAAAAAGTCAAAAAGTTACTATCCTATTTAAGTCACATCATCTTATTTAAGTTACATCACCTCTCTAACACATCACTTCAAACCCAACCCAAATCCAACCCATATTTTATAAAAAGTCAAAAAGTGCACTTATTTAGTCTTCCCAAACTTGACCTTAGTAATTTTGCTTTACCGGCGGGCGCCAGCCTTGCCTTGGCTACCTGCTGGACATCAACCCCGTAAATTGTCTCAACATTGATTCCGGTCAGTTCCTACAACAGTCCGGCATGACCTCTTTAAACTATCCCGACATTGATTCTGGCTAGTTTCTTCTAGGACAGTTCAGTTCCTGTTTTTTTTCTCTTTCTAGAGTGTGGTGCTGATGTCTTAAGCACTTTTTGGCCTTTTTTATTTAGTAGACTACTAGATTTGTTCGGTAGCATTTATTTGGATTAGTCATTGAGTTTTTTCCGGCTTCTTCTAGTCATCTATTGGCAAACTGCGATTGTTGAATATCTTTATACCAGCTTGAGGGGGAGCATTGAATATAAAAATTAGAGTACATAGAATCTTTTTATTTTTAGTATCATGTATATAATCTGTGATTGTCTCAATCACTGATTTAGTATTGTTTCCTTATTTATATCATTTCCTTATTTATATTGTTTCCTAAATTGTATCATGAATCTATTATATATACATGGCATCTACCTCATTCATGGATAAGTCAAATTTCATTCTTTTAACCGCGCATGACCCAAACCAAGGGAGGTAAAGTGAAGTTTGCCCTTATGAAAAAAAAAAAAAAACTGCACATGTTATAGTGTACATAGATTTAGATGCTCATTTTGTTGTTCATTGTGTAGTTGCATGTTCGAAAGTGCAATGAATGTGGACAGCCCTTACCTGAAAGCTTTGAGCCTCCCGCAGATGAACCCTGGACAACGGGGATTTTCGGTTGTGCAGAAGATACAGAGAGTTGTAAGTTCTCATATCTGGTATTGGGTAGCCCCCTTTAGTAGCTATTTCTTAATCTTTAGAAGTAATACTATTCACCTTGTTTGGTTTCAGAAAATTGAGTTTTTTTTTTGTGTGTGTGTGTGTGTGTGTGTGTTTTTTTTTAAGTCAAAAAATTTAATATTTGAAGAATTTTTTATTTTTATTTTTTAGATGCACCTAACCTAGATGCACTTAAAAAGTATAATATTTATAAAAAAAATATTAAAAAAATTCATCAAATACAAAAAAATACAAAAATTCAATATGTTTTTGTATTCTTGTGTATTTATTGAATTTTTAAAATATTTTTTCACAAATACTTTACTTTTTTAGGTGCATCTAAGTTATGTGCATCTAGAAACTAAGAAATTTACTTAAAATATTAAAAAAATTCACTAAAAACAAAAAAACATGAAAAACAAAAAACTCAATTTTCAGAAAATCAATCAAAACCAAACAAAGTGATTACTATTCTGTCCTTGTATGCAATCCAACTTGTTTTCATTGATGGTTGTGAAGTATACATGTCTTATAGTGAGTAAGGCATAGCAGGTCTTAGATCTTTATAAAGTAAAGCATAGCAGGTGATAATTTTAAATGGAAACAGTGTAGAAAACTTCTACTCATGTTTTTTCAACTAATAGTGATTATGATGCTAACATCAAATGTTATGCAACCAGCAGATTTCTCTATACTTATTTTTTGTGACGATAAATGTTAAGCTTTGATAATGATTTCACTTTCCAAGTGGTCAAAGCAGACTAATCGAAGCTGTAGTAGACTCTTTGAGGGTGTGGTGGTGATCTTGAGTTGTTCTTTTAGTACCTTTTTCATTGTTTTAATGGCTCGAGAATACCATGCTTTTGTATCCTAGAACTTCACTTTGTTTTGCCCCTTAACTAGGAATTTTTCTCCTACCTTTTCTGGTGGGGAATGCTGTTATGATTAACTACAATCAATGATGTTTCTCAAAAGAAAGAAAGAAAAAAAAATTGAAAAGGAGAAGAAACGGCTCAGTATTATTAGAATCCTTTTCGCCCTGGCCGGCGATGAGGGTTCTGGAGTCTCAAGCCTTTTCAGCTAATGGTTTGAACTACATGTGAAATTTGAGCCCAGGTATGAGGTATGTAACACAACATCTGTGTATATATCTATGTATGTATGTATATGTATGTGTTCCACTTTTCCTCAATTCAAGCTGAGACATAAACTTTGGCTGGCTGGGACTGGGACTGGGATAGCTAGCATGTTCTGTGTTGCCATATTTAAATGAATGTGATAGGGTACTTTAGATGTTATTGGTAATAATTGTATCATTTATTCTTCTTACTGTTTTACCTTTTTCACTTTATGATAATCATTATTTATTCTTAGTATGTTTGAATATTTGGTTCCTCGTCTATGACAAGTGCATTCTCTTCCCATTCTTTTTCCGTATGCATTAAGAATGAATTTGGTGACGCAATCCTTAGTTATCTTAAAAGTCTCTTGTTTCCCATCTGTACAGGCTGGACAGGACTTCTATGCCCGTGTGTTTTGTTTGGACGTAATGTTGAAAGCTTGAGAGAAGATACCCCTTGGACTACACCATGCATGTGTCATGCCATTTTTGTTGAAGGTGGGTTTGCACTTGCAGCAGCAACAGCATTTTTTCATGGTATTGACCCGAGGACATCATTTCTTATTTGTGAGGGTCTGTTATTTGGTTGGTGGATGTGTGGCATATACACTGGTCTCTTTCGGCAGTCCTTGCAGAAGAAGTATCATCTCAAGGTGATCTCTATTTCTTAAATATACTTTGGTGTAAAAGCATTTTCCAACATACAATGAGGTCACAAAATCTTCTACAATGCATGTAGCAACTGCATTTTCTTGTATCTATTATGAATATGTAGAATTTCATGTTAACTTAAACCTGATAAATTACCGAATCACCATTCTCTCTCTCTTAGAGGGAAACCATAGAAAGAAACTATGAGGCGTGGCACACACAATCATGTGCATCAGTTTTTACTTTTACACAAATTGTGTTTCATATTCGTAGAGATTTGTGGGTGGTTATGAACAAGTTATTTAAGGAGAATATTTTTCCTATTGAATTAGTTCTCTCGTATTTGCATCTCTCATTTCAAGTCTTTTATAGGATGACTTTCTTACTACCAAGTGGTAGGGTTATAAAGACCATACACACCAGTCAGAACTAAGCAATTGATAATACGTTGAGAAAATAGGAGCCCTGACCTTGTGGCTCTTGGACAGAAAAAGTGTTTCACGATCATTATTGCAACAATGTCTTCAATTTGTGCAAGCTTGGTTAGTTTGAAATTCAAATTTTGTGGTTTTTTAATGGGCAAACTTCACTTTATCCCCCTGTAGTTTGGGCCGAGCGCGGATTACCCCCTGACATTCGGAAATTACCACATAACCCCCTATGGTTTGTGGACTAAAACGCACAGCTAGTTTTTCCGTTAAAGATAACACATTGTGAGAGTCACGCGCTTGCAAGGAGAGTAACACTATTTTTAAGACGAAATGCCCCTGGCACATCTTCAAATTTATAAACAATGCCATCAAATCTGTAAACCTCTTCCCAAGAAAAAAAAAAAAAAAAGAAAAGAAAAAAAAAAGAAAAAGAAGGTGAAAGATGGTTTGATCTTACTGAATATGGTTTGATCTTCTTATTACCAAAATTTTTTGAGCTTCTTACTACCCAACTCCGGTCAATCCCATTTTGACGCCACTCTCCGGTCAACCCCGTCCAGAGCCACTCTCCGGTCAACTCCACCATGACCTCCACAGTCAACCACCCCCAGCAGCTTCGGACAACCCCAATCCAGAGCCACCGTCCAAATTACAGATTATATTTAACAAAAGTTAATAAATGCTGGTGCCTGAGACTTTGGAAGAGAAAATGTGTAGCTATATATATAATCTATATATATGTGTATACAGATTATATAATCTATATATATATATGTATATCAAAGCTAATTTCAATTCATCAAACATTTTCAATAACATGATTTTGAATTTTATCCATATATATATATATCGGTGTTACGTTTAGAAAAAAATTGATTTTGTTTTTGCATCTGCTATATGTATATATATATTTTGAATTTTGTCCATATACATTTTACATCTGCTGTATGTATATATATTTTTTGAATTTTATCCATATATATATATGTGTGTGTGTCATTCTGTTTCAATAAATTTCAATGGTTTGTGAAGATGAAAGATGATGAAGTGTATGTACAATTTCTGTTAACTGTGTGAAAGATGATGAAGTGAAGTGTATGTTAGCTGGGTGAACTGTATGTAAGATGATGAAGATGAAATGGAGAGAGAGAGAGAGAGAAGAAGAAGATGAATGAGGGTATAATTGTCAATTTACAACTTCTGTTAACAGAAGTTAGTGTGCGTTTTAGTTCACAAACTACATGGGGTTATGTGGTGATTTCCTAATGTTAGGGGGTAATCTGCACCCGACCCAAACCATAGGGGGGCAAAGTGAAGTTTCCCTTTTTTAATTAGTGACATCACTCATCCATGGTTGTAAATTTTTTTCTCTCATACACATGTACATACATGCACAGAAGAAAACCAAAGATGAACAATTGCCAAATATTCACATATTTGTTTTGCTGGTAGTTGATTGAAACATTTCATACAATGTCTCTAGGCCAAGCATAATTGCCAATACTTGCATATCACTCCCCTTTTCTTTTTCATGATGTTAGTTCAGCAAAATGGTTCCTACTATTGGTTCTTTCATGGCTTTTGTTTCATCTCTATGTGCAAGAAAATAAAACCTTCTGTTGATGCTGCTTGTATTGCAATTTTTTAAGATTTCGTACATATGCACAGTGCAAACGACTATGCTTTTAGTGCAATTACATTGCCTCTAGAGAATTTCTTTGTATCTGGGTTCACTTGCTGGTCTGAGTTAATGTATAGTGTCATTTCCCCATGAGTATTTTAAAACCCCTTAAAGTATTTTGTTGGGTTTTTCAAACTTTTCTTCGCCCTTTTGAAGCTCTGATGGCACTAGCAGCTTGATATGTTCAACTTCCTCTATGTTCACTTGTACCAACCTTTAGTGAACAAATTACATGCCTTGTAGTCTCCCAGTTTAATCCCTCTATAGTACCTTAATGTTGTATTTGGTTGGGGGATTTGAGAAGGGATTTGGAAAAGGAAAGGGAAAAAATGTGTGAAACTAGGTGAAATGTAAGTATATTTTAATCATATTTCACCTTCTTTTTCTATTTCCCTTTCCAAATCCTTTTCCAAATCCCCTAACCAAACACAGCGTAAGGTTGTGTTTGAATTAAGGATTTGATTAGGAATTTGTAGATGGAAAGGAAAATGACACTTTTCCCTCAGCAAATCCCACCTCAAATCCTTGAGGCAAACATAGCCTAAGCTCTTCATCCACTTTCCATATCTAACAAGTCCAGCATTCATCGATAGCTTCTGGATCAACTTTTTCAGAAACACCGTCTTTCTTTCATTATTGTTTTGACTTCATCCTTCAAACTTTTTGAGACTCAATGCTTTTGGTAACCATAAAAAGCAGTATGGACAATCTCGTTTTTATCAAATCACTACAAAATTAGGTGGAGGCACAGATGATGTTATTATAGTTGGCACCATTTAAGGTAAGGTTTTCCTTGAGATGGTCAAAAAGTTCTCAATTTTCATTCCCATTTGTTATTTTATTCTATACAAGTAGCAAGTCCTGCAGATGTAAATATTTAGAACACAGAAAGAATTAAAGGTTTTTTAAACCGAATTCAAATTGAGAAATGGGGTTTATATTATATTTTTACTACATGACAAACTGGAGATGTTTTAATTCAGTTTAAGAAGATGCTAACAATTTTCTGTAACTTGTTGCACCATAATCACATTCAGCAAAGCTATTTTGAGCACATGGCTGTAATAATAACTTTGTTTGGTTGGTATGGGTAAGGTCCACTTTTAACAAATTGAGATAAGGTTCTCTTGTTTTCCCATATTTGGCTCCAGATTGAATATATATCCACACATTATCTAGAATAGCAATTTTTTTGATTTCCCGTGGATTCTGGATAGGATTCTCATATGCATTGGACCCGTTTATTAGATTCTTACCAGATATAAATTAATAAAAATATAATAATTGTGACTGCATCTAATAGTTGACAATTTAGGATCGGATTCTTGTATCAAAGGGGGTTGATATGTGTGAATTTAACATGAACTAGATCTTATGTTACAATTGACGACATACATTAGGTTTTGTCATTTGAATTAGTAAAGAGATTGTACTGCTAGAAATAGCAAGTTTCTCTTATCTAATCTGCCTGGTCTATAGTTATGTTATAAGAAGCCTGGATTTTCTGCCTTGGAATGAGAATGGGCTTTAAATATGTTGCTTACATTCTGCTTTTGCTCATTTTTGCTGATTGTGCACAGAACTCGCCTTGCGATCCATGTGCGGTGCACTGCTGCATGCACTGGTGTGCCTTGTGCCAAGAGCACAGGGAGATGAAGGGACGTCTCTCGGATAACATTGTTTCGCCAATGACCATAGTCAACCCTCCCCCCATTCAAGAGATGAATTCTGCCAGCCACAGCCATGATGATACTGCACCATCCTCTGCAAAAAGCAGCGAGCACACCAGTTTGGAGATGCAAGCCCTGTAGATCCACTGTTGCTCATATACTTCTAGAAGGGGGTGCGTGTGTTTGTGTTTTACTCATATGAGAAGAGTTTCAATTGCATTTATACAAAACTAAGGCATTCAGTCCCCATTGTGAGGAGTTTTTTTACTTTCGTTAAATCAGATGCCCTTGATAATTTGGTCTTTGAGACTGGTGTAAACAGTATATTGACATTGTTTTAAATTCGGATGCATAATTTTGGTCTGGCCTTTGATGTTTTACATTATATAGAGGAAGATGCGCATTGCATTCAAGTTGTCTATACTCCATACAGCATAAACATGAGATTAAATAGCGAATTTTTAATCAGATTGGATGCCTCTAGGGTTGCAGATTGCTTTTCTCACTGCCACAATTTTCTTTGCCTTGCTTCAGATTATGGATGGCAAGTTATTTGGTTTGTGATTTTCAGTTTTTTTGGATGTGTTCTTGCAAATGTACTAATAGATTGTAAGTTCTTTTCTTACTTTGCCATTTTTGTTAGAGATTCTTGTATGGTTGGTTGTATTGTTGTGTTCGTTTTCGTGTTTTTTGAAAATAATAAATGAATATTTCTAAAACACTTATCGTTTTTATATAGATTTTGAAAATCCAAAAGGTTTTTTTTTTCCCTAGAAATTGAGTTGCTTTTAAAATAATAATAATAATAATAGAAACAAGTCTATTTTAAAAAAAAAATAAAGAGAAAAATACAGCCAATCGTCTCTTTTCTATTTTGGGTAAAAAAACACCGGTAGTCTTTATATTTAGCTCTTATGTCCTTTTAGTTTATGTATTTTCAATTGGTTCGATTTTAATTCTTAATTTTCAATTTTGTCCAATTAGTAACAATTGGTAGCATTTTTTTTTTAATGAAAAATACACTAATAAACATGTGTAAGACTTTTAGAAGCAAAATTGGACATACTTGACTCAGTGAGTTAATCTCAACTAATTCTGTAATCATTTTTCATTAAAAACTTTAACATTGTTATTAATTAGACTAAATTAACATAAATTTTAAAATTAAGAGTTAAAATTGAGTTAATTGATAAGGTAAAAACCAAAATAACACGAGACAATTTAGGAATTATTAGTCTAATTTTCCATTTTATTTTTATTTACTTATTTATTTTTATAATCAAATTTATAATTAAGGATTTTCAGCCCATGAGTGTAATTTGGTCGGACTAACAAGAACAATCCAAGTTTAACCCGTATATTTTGCAACACAAGTTTGACTCGGGTTAAAAATTTTAAGTCGAATTATATTGAGCTAGAGATGTATATTATATGGTATTTTATATATGTAATAAATATCATATCCCTTTCACTTAGACCATTGATTTTTATTTTATTTTATTTTATTTTATAGTTTAGAGTGATGATTATATATATTTAAACAATAAAAAAATATTGTGACATAAGTGCACTTCGTTAGTTACTGAATTAATATCATGACAATTTTTTTTTTTAATTTTATTTTAAATTACTCTGTAAAATTCCAGTGATCTTTTTTTTTTTAAACCAAGCTTTTGAATTAAGTTAATTGAAAACCCGGATGCACGCGCCATCACATGCAGACACGCATCAAGCTAATATAAAATAAATAATGAATCTGAATCACAAGATGAAAATTTTGAATAATTTCTGAATTGATAAAGGTGAGTTTGTAGTATTACTGGATTGGGTAATCTTGTAAAAGGTGGTTTCCTAGTACATGGAAGATTAGTGGTAGGTCTTTGTCATAGACTGGAGATCCGTAGGTTTCTAAAATAAAATCATATTTAAATCCAATCCAATTTGAGATGGGGCAAAACACATTCGTCTCCTATATGTAAAACATCTACTCACTCCAATCCAAACTACAATAAATCCCTACTATTTCCTTTCTATTCAAGTGACCCAACTAGTTCCTAAATAAACAACACAACATTGTAACACACATCATTACCATACTAAGCATATTATCAATCCAACAATAGCAGAATATATCCATCAAAGAGACTCATGGATAGATGTCGATGCGACAGCCCCTGCCATGGTGGTGATAGTGATGGTAGTGCAATGTGGAGTGCACAGGATTTTCATGGCTCCAGTGATTCAGATATTTCTATTATGACTCTCTCACCGTTTTCTTCTCCTCCTCCTACTAGTTACTGGGATGATGATCTCTACGGTGATTATGATAGCATAGAAGAATCTGTTATATTCAGAGAAGACATGCCAGACTATACCCAGATGATGGAGGCTAAGGCAACTGCTAAGGAGACAAAGCTGAAGGGATGTGGTGGATGGGGCATATTCACAGACTGTTTTGAGCTCTTCAAACTTATATTCTGTGCCGAGCAGTAGAGACTAGTTCTGGGGTGTGTGATATCAATAGTTTTGGTTGTTTCTTCTAAAACAATTTGATAACTTTGTGATTCTTGTTTAGTTTATAGTTTGAATTAACATTGTCTAATTCTTTCAAAAAGTAATCAATTAACATGGTCTAACAATGAATAGATATAGAAGGATTTGAGTGCTTATTATGAGTGAATTTCACAGGGTTTTCCAATTTACTATGAAATAAGTTATAATTTTACAAGGATCCTAATGAAGTAGGAAGGAAAGTTTAACAAAATGCCTAATACATAAAACGTGTAAGATCAACAAATAATGTACAAATCAGTAAAAATGGAACAAATTTAATCCCCTACTTGTAGCTGAGGCACTTGGTTTACATCCAATTCAGCGAAGAAGGTATTACCAGTGCGACTCTTTTAAGCTCTAAAAAATGCTTTTGTGAAAACAAACACAATAAAAAATACCAAATTTCGCCCATAGTTCAACAACTACAATAAATGTACCTCTTATTTACCCTGTCCTGAGTCAGTGACTTGCTTCACGTCATCATTAGTTTCCTCAATACTCTGCATTTCGAGTAGCTTCTGTTGTTCCCGTTCAATCTCTTGTGATATTACTTCTTTCACGGCCTTAGACTTGTTGCTTGTAGACTGTTGGTACATAATCCCACCCATCATACAAATTAAAAGCCCGATAGTACCAACAAACGACGAATGCTTGTCCCAAACAACCAGATTGATCACAACTGTCAAAAGCTTGTTCACTATGCCAAGAACAGTAAACCCCGTTGCAGAAATCGCCCTCCGACATGAAAACCCAAAGAAAGAAATTGCTAAACCAAACAAACATGACAACCCAACTGGCAAAACCACCACGAAAGAATACCAATCAGATTCATCAGAAATTTCATGCTTTATCTTCTTCAACTCTCCCATGATAAGTAGCTCTAGTGGAAACAGTAGCAGAGCCTCGAGATTATTGTACAGTACAAGACCCCATGTGTTTAACCCAATTGTCATAACCACATGCTTAATGTAAACAAAATCTATGGACATGCTCACCAGGTAAGCCAAGGCCCAGCTATAAGCCATGAGTGTGAACTGGTAATCTGTTGTGACATAAAGCACACTACCACCAAAGATGGTGGCAAGTGAGATCCATGTTCTGATCGCTGGCCATGGTTGGTGCAAGTAGAGTGTCTCTCCTATTGCAACAAAGATAGGGACTGCTGAACGGAAAACAATAAAGGTGTCGACGTTGGCATGCAAGAGGAGCTCACTGTTGGTGAAAAGAGAGAGGTAGAATATAAACGCTGCTGGTAAGAACCGCCACATTGTGAGGAGGTCTAAAGAATCGTGTTCTATGAGCTTGAGCCTCCCACAAATGAGAACACCAAATGCGCTTGTGAAGTATTGTAAAGCAGTCAGTGCACCAGGATATGGAAACTTCATCACAGCCCATTTGTTAATTATGGAGAGTAACGATGCTGAAAGGCAGTATCCGGCAGCTATGCCATAGACTGATGCGTGGTGGAGTAAGCCACTGTACCAAGGGACTTGAGGTTCACTGGCATGGAAAGGAGCATCTGTACCCACATCTGAAACTTTCTGGGCTACACCATCTTTCGGATTTTCCACATCTTTGGACATCTAAAAGAGAACCAACAATTTTAGTAGCAAAAACATAAAAAAAATGTAGACATATTTAACATTTTAAGGGATGAAATGATTAAAGACTAAGCTTCACTTGTGTGAGAATTCATGTCAAAACAAATGGCCAAATTTGACTGTTCCAACTAATAAATCATTGACAGCCCATAAATGAACCTTATTTTTCACAACTAACACTGTAACAGCCCATAAATGAACCATGCACCAGAATGAAGGGGAATTTTCTTTCCCATCCCCTCTTCCAGTATAATTTTGATGGAAAGCGCCAATGATAGCGAAGGGCTGTCATTAATTTTGGGGCAAATTATACTAACAATCCCCTGTAATTTGAGGCTTGTGCCATTTTGGTCCCTCACCTTTCATGATACATTTAACCCCGAATTTTGAATCTCGTTCCAAATAAAAACAATTGAGACACCGTTGCACCATTTCAAGGGCAAATTTGTCTATTTGATAAAATATAAACTAGTTTGACAAAAAATAAATGTCAAAAAATTATTTTAAAATTTTTAAAAATTATTTCTACCCATCAAAGATAAAATTATATACAAATGTTTTACATTTTTATTTTTTTTTAATCTTTTTTACCAAATTAATTTTTAGTATGTGTTTGGAAGATGATCATATAATTGGTGGTTGTTTTTGTTAATATTTTTGGATGGTTATCATGTAATAGATGGTTTATTTGTTAACAGATATTTTTAAATGATTATCATATAATGGATAGTTATTAGGCTTTTAACGTATAATCGATATATTTAACATATGAAATGCTTTTAGTTTTGGATATTTTGATTTAATAGATTGGTTAAATAATGACATCAAAATTGTTGCTATGTTTGACTTTTGAAAAAATAGAAACTAATTTAACGAAAATAAATATCAAAAAAAATTATTTTAAAAAATTATTTCTATCATCCTAAAAGATAAAATTATATAAAAATGATGTGTTTTTAATTTCTTTTTTACCAATTTAATTTAGTTTCTTAGAAAAAATTTCTAAATGTAGATTCTGAAAATCAAACTAAATAGAATTTCATAATTAAGAAAGTTCTCATATCATTCATTAAAAAAAAAAAAGGCCGGTACCTTTCAAACGACATACAAGTACTCATCACAAAATAAGTTGTATAATGATTTAACCATTGAAATGGACCGTTTGCAAAGGAAACATCTTTAATTATCCTTATTTGGAACAAGATTCAAAATTAATGGTCAAATGTATTACAATTAAAAGGTCAGTAACTAAAATGATACAAGCCCCAAATTACAGGAACTGCTAGTGTAAAAAAGTGTAGTAAAATGTGTAAACAGCGCATAAAAATATACAAAAATGTGTTGGAATGTGCTAAAATTGTATTGAGATTTTAAATTTCTTGTCAATTTGTGTTTCTTAATGACAGACAACTTAGCATGATCCAATTTTGATACCGTCTTGAATGATATGATGAGAATCGTCTACAAGAAACGCTAAGAAGGAAGCAAGTGAAAAACAAGGGTCAATTCTCTTACTAGCCCAAGGGAAGTTCGAGACTTTAATAGAGACCACAGTCCGTAATGAGAATGGTTCTCTTTGTGTAGTATTACAAAGAGTGAAAGCAGAAGGAAACAGAACCAAATAACACAGAACAATGCAACAAGAAATAATAACAATCCGTGCCACTATATTCTATATCCACACACAATTATATTTCAAAGTCCATTATCACCTTTAACCTAGACATTTTAAAAATATGTAATGAAAGTTAGCAGCTTCGCGAATCAGGCCTTACTTTCGGTAAGTGGAGGGTGAATCTCAACTTCATTATCTTAAACCAGTCCAGAATAGATCAGACAGTACACAGAAGCTCCACACGCTGTCTGTTTCTCAAAATTTCCCTAATTTTCTTCCTCTTTAGATAAAAAACCTAGTTGGGTTTTAATTAATTTGGAATTAACTATCAGCAAGAACATAGCAGTCATACAGATAATCAGTTATGTTTTGTTTCCTTGCCATTGTCTTTCTTTATATGCCCATAAAATACATTAATAAATTAAATATGAAAGTGAAATATTTTTCTGCCCAAGGCGTCAAACATTTCATTGCTTAAAAGGAAGCTTGTCTTCATTGAAAGTGTTGTCGAACTTCACACTTGAGTCTTAGCTTATGTTTTGTTTTGGTTTTAAACTTGACATTGCCCATGAAATATAGTTACAAAAAATTCTTCTTTTATATATTTAAATCATCTACTAAACCATGTTTACAATCAACTCAAGACAAGCTCTTGATATACGCCATCCTCACATGCTTATATGCAAATGGCGTACAAGGCACACGTATCAAACTGTGATGCACAAGCCTTTGGCGAGTGTCACTTAAAAATCAAAGTCTTGATGCATGCAAGCCTCAATAAAGCCTTTTAAAACTTTGATCATGCCAAACTAAGAAGAATATTTAGAACTTGACTCATAAACAAATAACTGACATTGCTCCACTTATCAGATCAAGACAGATTGGCCAATTCTTGCTTTCCTCAAGTCCACAAAATGAAATTCGCCTACAATCCTCGTGTATCAGTTAAATTTGAGTGTTTTGCCCCCCATGAAACCTCCAAGAATTACACCCCATAGTGGAGTTCCCATGTTCAACCCCGAGCCACAAGACCATCAGTGTGGGTTAAAAGTAATCTATTCTATTATATAAACTACATAACTCAATTTGGTGTGAAACTTTGGCATGCAATTTTGATTCTCAAAAAAATACACACATCAACACTATTTTTTCCTGGGCAAATTATATTGGTAGTTCCTACATTTTATTCTTCATGTCATTTTAGTTAATACATTTCAATTGGCTCAATTTTGACTCTTGATTTTAAATTTTGTGTCAGTTTAATCCAATTGATAATGTCATTAGTATTTTTGACGAAAAATTATCACTGAATTGGTTGAGGTGATCGCTGAATTGATTGAGTAAGTTCATAATTTTACACTTAAAAATATGATACATTCGACTTATGTGCGTATTTTTCATAAAATGAGATGCAATTAATTTGATCAAATTGAGAAAAAATCATAAAATTCAGGATAATTGAGCTAATTGAAATTATAGGGACTAAAATGGCACAAAGACCAAATTACATAACTAAAATGATACAAGAAATAAAGTAGAGGGACTCCGGTCATAATTTATCTTTTTTAAAAATATTTATTTTAGCCTAACAATAATTGTAAGTTAAAGAGTAAAAAGTAACATCAATTGCTGTCCATTAAACAAGCACAGACTCTCTTCTCTTTCTGATATTACCCACTCATGAGTAATTCCCATTTGACAGCATAATAAGTGCTAAAGTATTTTTAATTTATCCGCCAACTCCCCAAATTCGATCAATTTTGGATGCATTTCCTATATTTTGGTTGAAACCCAGCAAACAAACAACATAAGGAATCAAAATAGTGAATTAATAGGGTATTCATAATGGACAAACAAACCATCAAAAACCCAACCCCAGATTAGGATCAAAATTGAAAAAAACAAGAAATCAAAAGCACAAGTCAGATCCGCACATACAAGGAGAGAGAGAGAGAGAGAGAGAGAGAGAGATTGCCTTTGGTGGGTAGTGGTGTGGGCGCAGTAACTCCGGCGTGGCAGTGGATGTCGGTGTCTCCGGTGAAATCCAAAATACAGATTAAGGTTTTAGGTCAGGGTTGGGTTACCATGTTGCGCTTTCCAACTTCCAAGTCTTGCAATTTCTTTCTACACTTGAATTGTAACCAGTTGGGAAGGTGATTCTGTGTGTGTGTGTGTGTGGTGTTCTACAATCACGCCGTATAGGCGATATAGATCCCATAATTTCAGATTATTTTATTTTATTTTAATTAATGTGTTTAATTATTATTATTATTTTTTTTTCGGGTACTGAAAAAAATGATGTGAATATTTGATTATTTTAGCTTAGGACAAATAGTATGGTTAACCTTTGACTCTTTTAGCCAGAGTTTTTTTATTTTTATTTCTTAAACTTGTTGCCAAATGCCTTTTCTAAGAGTTGCCACCGACATGTTTCAATTTGTAATATTGTATCATATTTAGGCCGGGTCGAGAGAAAAGTGGAGGTATGACATAATATGAGGTTTCTCTCTAGAATGAGAGCATCTCTCTCTAGAATGAGAGTTATACTGTCGTAGTGCAGTTGCTGGGATCTTTCCCTTCGCTCTCTCTCCTTCTTTTCCTTAGGTTTCTATTTCTCCTTTCTTTTCTCTCTTCCTTGAGTTTTCATGGATCGTGCCCCGGTCTCCTCGGAGGGACTGGCCTTTGTGGAACTCCAGGAGGGGTCGGACGAGTGTGTTGATGTCTCGAACCTCTGTCTGGTTGGGAAGATCTTAGCCCCCAAAACCCTTAATAAATCTGCAGTCACCAATATTATTATGAAAGCCTGGAAGCCGAGGGCAAATCTGGAGATCTTGTCTTGGTCAGATAATGTTTTCATGTTTCAATTCGAACAGGCAGATGACCATCATCGAGTCTTACAGGAAGCTCCTTGGTCTGTCATGGGTTATTTGCTAGTCCTACAGCCCCTATCACTCGGAAAGCCAGTTGACGATATGGAGTTCAAATGGAGCCCTTTCTGGGTTCAGGTACATGGTCTTCCAGTGGCCAAACTGACACGCAAAAATGGCGAGATTATCGGCCGACGAATTGGGAATCTTATTGGGGTCGAGGCCCTTCATAATGGCCTTCTTTTACATCGGAGCTTTCTTAGACTTCGAGTGGATGTGGATGTGACTCAACCCCTGCCTTTGGGATTCATTTTACAACAGCCAGGGAATGAGGAAAAGGAATCTTGGATCTACTATCGGTATGAAAAACTCTCTGATTTCTGCTATGATTGTGGCAGGATAGGCCATGATAACTCCTCTTGCAAATTTGTGTCTCGTGCGGAAGGCCAGCAGTCTGGTTATGGGCCTGAATTACGTACCAACCGAGCTCCTAAGTTGAACATACCGCTGATGGAGGTCCATCATTGGGTGAACCAAGTGGGGGAACGGGTGCACAACCTGGTTGGTAACCGACCGGTGTCGGAGCGGAGGGAAGACGCTTGTACGGTGCCTTCCCAGGACAGCATGCACATACCCACCCCAGCAGAGGTTGGCAATGGGGATAGGGCTGATGTTCTGAGGCAAATCGTGGTGTCAGAACCTGGGAGGGATAGTGGACCTGGTGGCACGTCTTTGCCACAGGCTGAGGTGGCAGGGGTGAATGTTCCTATACCCATTTTGACGGAAAAACCCATCCTTGTGGGTCAGACAGAGGCCACTCGAAGTGATCATTCTGGCCCAGCTTTAATATCCTCACCCCAATCTCTTGATGGGCCTTGCCCAAGTTATTTTGTCACTAAGCCCTTGGATAATACTCTGATTGTAAGGCCTTCGCCTAGCTGCGAAAGTGGAATTGGGCCTCTTTATGAAATAGGAATTGAGGAAATCAGCCCTAGTTCTAGCCCAACAAGCATTTCTTTTATAGAGCAGGCTCTGGATAAGAGTATGGCCATTTGTTTCCAAGACTTATCCATTAAACGGAAGGCCCAGGACGAGCTTGGTGAAGAAACCCAACATAAACGGCTCAAACAGGATAACGTCCATGATGACTGCAATTTTCTTGTGGCTTCAAACAGAAAGGGCAAACCTCCTCGACTTGGAAAATGGCCAAATTCCTCATGGTCGAGACGACCTGGGCATAGCTCGCACTCGGTTTTGAGGGGCGGCACTGGGGCTAGCTTGGAGAGGAAGTTAGATGATACTGCTCTGGTTCAAGCTCCAATCTCGTGGAGTCAAGATGGTGAGGAGCTCTGCTGTTCTCAAGTTCCTAGTAGCGTTCCGGATGAAGTTTCGATCCTTTCAGAACGGGTTATGGTGGCTGACCCTCAACGGCCACGTGATCCATGCTGATTTTGAGCTGGAACTGCCAGGGGCTGGGGCGACCCCTGACAGTCCAGATCCTCCGAGGGTTGTGCTCAACCCATCGCCCCTCTGTGGTGTTTTTAATGGAAACCAAGAATAAAGCATCCAAACTAGAGCAGACCCGTCGAAGACTCCAATTCGCGCACAGTTTTTACGTGAACCTGATTGGGGCTTCTGGTGGGTTGGCTCTGTGGTGGGTGGAAGAGCTGAATTTGGATGTTCGATTCTCGTCTAACCATCTCCTTCGATGCATTATTGGTAACAGAATTATGGATAGAGCATGGGCTATTTCTTTTGTTTATGCCCCTCCTAATAGATACCATCGGAAAGACTTTTGGCAGCTATTGATTCATCAAGCTCGGGCAAATCGATATCCATGGTTATGTGTGGGCGATTTCAATCAAGTGGGCTACATGTGGGAAAAGCAAGGTGGTGTGGAGTGTTCTAGATCTCATATGGACGGGTTCCAAGGTATGCTATCGGAATGTGCTTTGATGGATCTTGGCTTTAAAGGTAATGCATTCACCTGGACGAACAATCAAATAGGGGCAGCCAATATTCGCAAGAGGTTGGACAAAGCCTTTGCCTCGGTGGAGTGGTGCGATAAGTTTCCTCATGCCCAAGTCTTCCATGAAAACATTTTCGGCTCTGACCATTGTCCTTTGCTTGTGAATTGCTGCGTTCCTCCTAAAAGAGTCCCTCGGGTGTTTAAGTTTGAATCTATGTGGACTTCCAGTTCGGAATGTGGGGAAGTTATTAAACGGTCCTGGGCCTCTCCACAAACTGGCTCCCCAATGTTCCAATTGGTCAAGTGATTGAAATTGTGTAGTATTGGCCTATTATCCTGGAGTCGGCATGAATTTGGCAATAACAAGAAACAAATTGCAGCTTGCAAACTCAAGTTGAATTATCTTCAGAGCCTTGTTCCCACGTATCAAAACATTAAGGACCAAACCTCGATTAAGTCCGAAATGGAATTGTATATGATGAGAGAGGAGATGTTCCTACATCAGCGGTCTCTCGTTAATTGGTTATCTTTTGGTGATAGAAATTCGGCCTTCTTTCATGCCACCCTCAACCAACGTCGTCAGAGAAACCAATTAGTTCGCCTAAAAGGGGCAAATGGGGTGTGGCTAGAGTCTGATGAGGAGATTAACCACCATTTGCAATCTTACTATCTTGATTTATTCTCTTCGGTCGGTCGTCGGGATATGGAAGAGGCCTTAGATGGAGTGGATTCTGTTCTCACTAATGAGATGAACTCTCGGTTAACCAGGGATGTAACAGATGATGAAATTAAGGCAGCGGTGTTCCAACTGGGTTCTCTCAAAGCACCTGGACCAGATGGGTATCCGGGGTTCTTCTACCAACGGTTTTGGGCTGAAATTGGGAATGAGGTCTGTAATGCTATCCGAAATTTCTTTGTGGGGGGATTTCTGCTGAAAGAGTGGAACCAAACTAATTTGGTTCTGATTCCGAAGGTCATCGCTCCTGAATCCCTTTCACAATTTAGACCTATCAGCTTATGCAACTTTAATGTTAAAATCATCACCAAGATTCTGGCTAATCGCTTGAAAGAAATCTTAGGAAAGATTGTTTCACCTTATCAATCGGCGTTTGTTCCCGGTCGTATGATCCAAGACAATATACTGGTCGCCCATGAAGCCTTTCACTATCTTAAATTACTTAAGCGGGGCCGCCAATCGGCCATGGCTGCAAAGCTCAACTTTAACAAAGCCTATGATCGGGTTCAATGGGACTTTCTTGAAGCGGTTCTTCGTAAGATGGGCTTTCATGCTATCTGGGTTAACTGGGTGATGCAGTGTATTACATCCGTTACCTTCAATGTGGTTGTAAATGGGGCTGTGCGAACGACTTTTACACCTTCTAGGGGCATCCGACAAGGGGACCCTCTCTCTCCTTACCTATTCTTACTGGTGATTGAGGTGCTATCCAAACTACTTCAAAAAAGTTTGGCAGCAAGTCAGTTCTCAGGCATTAAGATCAGTCGAGGGTGCCCAGTACTTTCACATCTCTTCTTTGCCGATGATGCTCTTTTATTTCTTAAAGCGGATGTGGCTCACTGTCATGAAGTCCTCCAAATTTTGGCTATTTACGGCCAAGCTTCGGGCCAACAACTTAACTTCGATAAGTCAGGCCTTCAGTTTTCTGCTAACACCAGTGAAGGATGTAAACGGCAAATTTCTGATCTTCTGCGCATTGCCCCTGCTGATCTGGGATCCAGATATTTGGGTTTGCCAACTTTCTGGGGGAGATCCAAACGGGCGACTTATAATTTCATTGTGGAAAGGGTGCGTGATAAACTCCAAGGTTGGAAGCTAAAACTGTTGTCCCAAGCGGGACGGGAAATTCGGCTTAAATCAGTCGCCCAAGCAATTCCCTCCTATGCAATGTCTTGCTTTTTACTCCCCAAGAATTTGTGCTTTGAATTGAATGCACTTTTGAGCAATTATTGGTGGAAAGGTGACTCTGACAACAAAGGTATTCACTGGACAGCGTAGGACACTCTAACACTGCCAAAACTCCAAGGCGGAATGGGCTTTCGAGATTTCTGTTCTTTTAATAGAGCTCTGTTAGCACGTCAAGGGTGGAGGCTCAGTCGGTTTCCTAATTCCTTCTGTGCTCAAATCTTCAAGGGTCGGTATTA